TCCCTCCCATTAAGCAGATAGCCCTCTGGCTTTGCCGTAATTACATAAACCAAACCTACTTCTGGAAGCAGGCCACGAGGTACGAATTCCCGTGCCGGAGTACTATTCCATATTAATAATTATGCGATGCCTAACCTGTAATTGTAGTAACCTGTAATAAATATGCGATGCCTAACCTGTAATTGTAGTAACCTGTAATAAATATGTGATGCCTAAGCTGTAATTGTATAGGATGTAAATAGCATTTTAGATTAAAAAAAAAAAAAAAAAAAGTAGTTCCAGTGTGGCGAGGAGTAGGGCGAATCACTCTACTTCCTGACAGGGAAAGGAAATTTCATTAGTGGGAGGAGCTAAACGACTTTATACGGGAATGAATGTAGTGTGATGTGTTGAGCAAAGTCGTAATGAAATGTGAAAGTATTAGAAATTTAAAACCATTGGGAAGAGCGAGACTCATTGTCGGCTTAATGTCATGTCGGTTAAGTGTCCTTGTCCGCTAAGTGTCCTGTCGGCTAAGTGTCTGTGTCGGTTAATGTCCTGTCGGCTAACTGTCCTTGTCGGCTAAACGTCCTGTCGGCTAAGTGTCCGTGTCGGCTAAATGTCCTGTCGGCTAAATGTTCCTATCGGCTAAGTGTCCCTGTTGGCTAAATTCTTGTCAGCTAACTGGTGTCGGATAAGTGTCCCGTCGGCTAAGTGGTTGTCGGCTAAGTGTCCGCGACCGCAAATTGCCAGCATCTATACTATTAAATCTATGCGCGGTCTGCTTGTTTGTTTGTTTGTGGCATTATCTTCTCCGGATTAGCGGGGAGTTGAGTTTCAAGAGAGTTACCTCCGGATTCCAAAAATTCATTCGGTGGGAAACCATTTCGACCATTGTCATTTTCGCACGACTTTAAGCAGCTGAGATAGTAATTAAAAATCTGCTTTTTTTCGAGAAGTGTTGCCATTGCTCGCCTTCAAATGGCAGAGTTTTTTAATAAAAAAATTACAAAATAAGAAATAATTTTAAAAAAATCTGTAAGGTTTCAGGTTTTCTCTTATATTAGAATAAATTCATATAATTATGCTTTGTGCTTTCAGAATCCGATCACTCATAAAGCTCATCAAATTCTATTCCTTATTTAAAAAAATAATAACCTCAAATACATATCTAAGATTAAAATAATAAAGCCTGGAGCCACCTTTTTCGAATAGTTTACATAAATGCTGCTTTTTATTAAGGAAAATTTCTTGCAATAGAGTAGGCGCCTGTAAATGTGATTATATAAGTACTTGTATTTATCCTCTACTATTCCGATAACATTAAACCATAATAAAATGAGGGCAAAAAAGATGCTTCCAGATAACAAAAGACTTTAATTAATTTAACAAAATATAATGACAGACATGTAAATAGCATTTTAATTAAGAAAAGGTAAAAATTTGCTCTCGAATAGTTCATAATGTCTTTGATGTAAAAATTTAAAACATTTTTGAAAATTATCTAACCGATTCTGTATATGTAATCTGAACACTTGGAGCGCATCCTTCTTTGAAATGTAAAATAAAAACATTACGCAAAAATATAAGTAGAATTTTCTTTTCTTTTCTTGTTCTTGAAGAAGAAGGATCTTTTTCTGATGGCTCTCAAAATGAATAGTTACTCAAAATTCGTGCGACACTAAGTTCTTTTACGTGTCTGTACTTAGTTTTAAATGACTGATTAATATCAAAACTCAACTATCTGGATATTTAATTAGTTGTCGACATTTCCCTGTTACTAAGCAATTTTTATAATCTATTTTGGCCATAATTATAAAATTTACTTCAGTTTTAAAAAAATTAATGTATAATATTTTGATCATATTAATCTAATTGTTGATCACAATAAGAGAAGTATTGTCAATCTTTTCAAAAACAAACGAGCGGGATTTTGACAATTTGATAACATATCCGAAAGGTAAGATTAACCGCAATCACAATAAGCGGCTTATTCGTACACCACCCATTATGTAAAATCCGGTTTCTAAGTTCATAGTGGCGCCATCTCATGAACACAACCTAAAGCAATTTATTTTGTTGTGAAATTTATTGTTATTTCAACTTATCATAAATAATTGTTCATATATTTTATTCTTGAAAACTTTTAATTCTCATAAATAATGTTTGATATATTATTCATACATCCGTGCATTAATGCACTGTTTTTTAGTTTGATTTTAGTGACGCACATTGTTAAATTCATTAAAAAACTATACAACTGAACAAGAATTTTACATTATTCAAACTGGATGATAGTATATTTTAAATAACGTAATAGAAAGTAGCATTATATACTCATACTTCTAAAATAAGTCTATCCGAAAGTCATTTTATATGATATAGCATCGAAAAATATAAAAAATTGTTTTAGAATTCACAATGAAAAAAAAAAAAAATGATAATAAAATTCCTAATAAGACAGTTCTTTTTTCTCAAAGAATTTTATCAGAATTTGATTTATGTTTTTTCTGAATTTAAGGATCAGAAAGTAATCTTTTCTGTAGTTCTTTCCATGTATATGAAGGATATTTGTCTCCATATAAGTATACAAAAGTGACTGATATTTATGAAATTCTATATGAGATCAAACGGTATACTAGTTACTCAAGTTGCTATAAAATTTATTAAAAAATCACTGAAGCTTTTATTTGATTCAGAATCTCATTAATTAAAGAAATTTTCAGATTCTACAGATAACACCTGAGAATCTAATCATCTGTATATAATTAAGAATTATTATATTAGCAACCGTTTTATACTACAGTTCTTAAATTAGAAAGAAAGTATTCAAACTTTTCCTTAGTTCTTTAGAATACATATTATTAGAACCAAACCAAAGCCACGAATCTTTAAAATAATATTTCAAGGAAAATATGCTCGAAAAGCGAAAAAATTCGAAAAATTTCGATCATTTATATAATAATTCTGTCGTCTTTTTATTCTAAAATGCGAATCGATCAGCATAATATAAACATCAGATCCTAGCTTACAAAATACATTTAGATGAAAATAATAAAAAATGCAAATTCATGATTTTGGCGTGGTTTTAGCGATAATAGAAAATTAAATGTTGATATTATCTATAAAAAAGGATTTGTGTGAGTATGTAAGCGCAGAAATGAAAATATCTACAATAACAAAACTTCGCATATACATACATATATTCTAGGGGATGCTTTGGTTCCAATTCGAAACTAAAGCTTTGGCTTTGCAAAAATTATCCTTGAAGCTTTTCCCGTTCACAAAAAATTATCATCTCTGTAGTTAAGGCATTAAGCACAATCCAGTCTTTTTTTAGCACCTTCGGAATTTCAATAGCTTTGTTTTTATATTTGTTTACTACTTTCCTCGATAGATGGCGCTACGCGCATTACTCGCTTTGCTCTGCTTATTGCTTTAGGTATATAAACGGTCGTTGTTCGTCCCAATTTTGCAAATATGCTTGCTAATGTTAATATTATGGCTAATTTTAAATATTTTTAATATGCTGGTTTATAAATCTTTACATTAGAGCTTTATATTTCTTATAAACATCTTCGGTATTTATAAACTTAAATCACACTGACGCTAGAATGTTAAAACAAATATGTTCCATGTATGACATGATTCCACATTAGTGTCTGGCTACATTTACACACTAGAGAGAAAAATTTACTGTCTTCATAGATACGTAAACAATAAGATATAGAATTCTTTTATTCAATCTTGACAAAATGATGACTAAACGTCATCAAACATTTTGTACTTGCATTTCCTTTCTTCAAACCAAAGATAAAAAGAGTATGTGTGCTTTGCATTAATTCGATTATTTAACCAATTAATCCGAAATTCTTATCATTTTTTTAAAGCGACCAGTTTATCTGAGGATATAATTAGAAAATCACTAATTGTCATATTCTGATGGTCAAGGAACTTCATTTAATGTTTTTCGTTGCTTAACTGTCATTAATAAAATTTGGTAACAAACGAGTCACACAACCACACGTTGGAAGAAATTATGGCTCTACTGTGTCGCAAGCGGAAACTTTGATGCTAAGGATATTTCTGTTAAGTAATAATACTGCTGTCTATGATATTGCGTTATGTGTGATATAATATATTTTTGATGCATATGTCTTTAGGTATAATATCGTAGATAATAAAGTGGGCTGAAAAGTTAGCGGATTTGAAAATAGAAGACGTGGAGAAACTACTTGAGGATCATAAAAATGAACTCAACAAGAAGGAACCGGAACAACTTCAGAAGTTTAGAAACGTTTCAAAATGTAGGCAACAACAGATTTTATTAGACAACTTTTGAATGGAATGGTAGCCCAGTGATTCTCAGGCATAGAAACCATGCTGTACAAAGTGGTTTCCTGATGTTTATAAGGAAGAAATGCCTCATTCAAAAAGTAACGTCTCTTTCCTTTCTTTTCCTGATAACTTTCCATTTACACCCTCTACTCTTCTTTGTATTGTCTGGTGACATTAATAAGTTCTTGTCTTATTTTACTTGTCTGATTTTGTGTTTATCATTTTTGTCTCAGATTTAATGTTTTCTTATTAGCTTCGTATTATAAATATGTGCACATAGTGTTGCAAAATTTAAATAAGCAATTATTTGTGAACCAGGAATGGATTTATTCATTAAACATTAGTTAATACGAGCAAAATTGTTTGTGTTATGGACATTTCAGACGCCAAACGGCCTTCAGGAATTAATTATATTCGTGAGCTGACGTTTTAGTGTTCAGAGTTTTGGTAAAAAGTATATCTATATACACAGTTCGGTATGCTCAACTTTATATTAAAATCCATTTAAACCTTTTTTTAATATTAAATAACTGAAAATTGTAAATATGATTTTTAAAATTTATTATAAACTGTATTGCTTCTCTAAATATCTGAATATAAAATATGTTCACTGAGTAAATGCTGAGAAAACTATAAAAAATTTCAAATAAAAGAATTAGTTCCCATTTGTGTTAGAAGAAAAATTTAATGTACATCTATAATATACAAACATTCGCACATTGATATAAAATCGCATAAGATTAAAATATACATGTCTATAAGAAAAAGATTAAATAAAACAAGGTTTGAAAAATATTTTTACGATATTTACAAAACTTTTAAAGGAGATCCTAAAAAATTAAAATAAACGAAACATGCATAAAACATATAATTTAGAAATTTGTCTGAGAGTACAGCTTTGACCATCATTACTGCAGTTTTCAATAGCTAATTACTTTCTTTGTAATTAACTAGCTTTTGACTGTTGGCAAAGTATTCATACTCCATTTTGTTAATTATTTTGACTCAAAAACTATAGATTTATCCGAAGATAAGGGGTTTAGGCAATTTCCCCTAAATTTGCTTATACACATAAAGCGGCAGACGTTTACTTCTATTTATAGTATGAAGAATCTCAGAAAACACTTGGAATGTATTTATCTACATTTTATTTCATTGTTAACAAAATGTAAGAACCATCTGATTAAAATATCTGGTCCATTTTTAGAAGCTTTTCTTTCAAAAATTCTTTTTATGCTTACTATATTAAAACTCATCAGTCATTTCAATTATCAATATTGCTTTGCAACATTTTCAAGAACTTTTATTTCTTTTAAAGATGTAAAAAAGCTTTCATCATAATTCACAGGATCTGTGATTATCTGCTGTTTCGAAAACTAAGATCCGATGTAAGGAAATTGAAAAATGATTTATATTTTTCATGATTAAATATGTAAACCAGCCGTGAATTTTTAATATTTCTAATTTATAGTGCAGTCGGAATTGAAACTATGACGAAAGAATATTTGTCAAAAATATGCTTCCGTGATCCTTTTTCAGTAAGATGGACTTCTCATAAAATTTTATTCCTAGAGTTTCTATTTCTCTTCTGAATTCTGTCCTCCACTATTAGGATCCTTAGGATATATTTTCTTACAATAACAGAGTAGACTTTGGAAGTAGATGATATTCGAAATGGCGAGGAGTGCCTAGATACTCTATAATGAGAAGACAAGTATTCCAATCAATGAAATGCTGTTTTCAAAGATAATTGTGAACTTCCGAAAAAACCTTTAAAGCGACAATTATATGCCAAATTTATATTAAAATTTTCACATTTTAGTAATATTTTATTAAATAAGTAAAAATATTTAACAGTTTAAGTTCAAAGTTTTGTAATTACTAACTGATTAGTAAACATAATGTACCAAAAGTTACATAAAAATAACAGCTAACATCAGCAAATAATTTCTTTAATACGACTGGGAAATATTTTATAATTTAAGAAAATTAATAAATTTTTAATTTTGCTTATAAAATTCTACTCTAAGAACAGTGAAAACAAGTAAACTATTACATTCAAATTTATTATATCCAATTGCATTTTTATTTCTTGCAATACCAAGTGTATACTTATAAACCGTAATGGAATAAATACCTCTTGAGCGCATGTATCAAAATAAACCATGAAAAAAGAAAAAAATCTGAAAGGGTTGAGATTCAGATTTTAACGATCGCCCAGAACGGTTCTTATAATGCTTAATAGGGTTTATCAGTAGAGATTGTCAATAGACAAAGCCCTGGAGGAGTAGCGAAACGTATTTGAAAATAGGAAAAACATGTAATTTAATTCTATAAAAATATTTAATGCTTTTAACTAGATATACCATGAATTTAATGCATTTTTATTTACAACAGTCCGATTTAAAAGTAAAAAGAAATAAATCTACAGCATTTAAATAGTTTAGCTAGTTAATAAATAACAGGCATTATTAAATATGATATAATGATATCTTACGTTTTTCTAAATGGCAACAGACTCGAATTAAAGCGAAACAACGCAAAATCGTGTTTCGAGACTAATATCCCTTGTGGGCTAATAACTGAGTAATCTTTCGTAGGCTTATTATTTGTAACGCACAGAACTGAAATTAATGTACTATTTTTTAATGCTAGATATGTTAGTATAAACTGGAAGGAAATGAACTTCCTCGGACAAACAGATACTCTTTGTCAAATTTTCCGTATAACAGAAAATTAGACTGGAAATTTAGGATAAAAAGTATATTTTTCCATAGATAAACTTAAGAATCATTCATTTTATAAGCAGGTATACCTACAAAAATTTATTATCAGTCAGGTATACCTCTAAAATGCTGGGGTAAAGTGGTAGACAAGACTAATCTGTAGATGCAGTATTTATTTTATTAAGAAACTAATTATTTAATAAAAACATTGCAACTTCTGTGAACTGATCATACAGCAAAAATATTTACAGAATTGCAGTCTTATTCCTTTCTGCGAATAACTAATGCATACAAGTTCCTGAAATATATGCCTTTTAGTTACTTGCAGAAAGCATATTCATAAATTATGCGAAATTAAATAAAATAAAATCCAATACCAACTTCAAAGTGTTCTCTCAGGAACATTTCCTCAGACTTGAGAAACTGGTGGTGGAATAAGAATTCCTGACATACCAATTAGAGGATGAGGAAAGGGCGTGAGCGAGGAAACTTTCTTTTTAAGTGGATAAACTACATCACAGGAGCAAACGCATTCATTAATCTCAGTGCTAAACCCTCCAATAACATACGTCTGAGAACCTGCCGATAAGATTAGTAGTATATAGAAAACACATTCATATAAACAAAAGAAATTAATAATTTAAGTACTAATTAAAAAGAAAAACCCAAGCAATAAACTAAAACATATTACGAATTTATGCATTAAGTACAATCTACAGGCAACTTTGAAAATAGTTTACACCAAGGATTTTCACTGATTTTTAGACGGCAATGCTGGCGCTTTAACATGAATAAAGAATTTAATACTAGTAATGCCATCTTATGTAAATCCCTCAACACTTATTTGTATACCAAATATATATATATATATATATATATATTGTGGGGGTTAATGTGCATATATATGTATACTTTATGGGTGTTTATATGCATATATATGTACACTTTATGGGTTTTTATATGCATATATATATAATCAAAATAATGAAATGAATATAACTCCTGTTAATAGTGCTAAGTTAGCCCAAATTTAGGAAATTTTCCATGCGTACCAAACAGACTAGAAGAGAAACACGCTAATGTGACAATCAATATCGTAAAAAAACAACCTTGTATTTAGCGTAAGTATAATGAAACAATCGATTTCGAGGGCAGCTAAAGGTCCCTCCTCATCAGGAGAAAGAAATACATAGAAAGAAGAAAATAGGAGAAGGAGTCACAGAAACACGTGGTCTTTATCAGCACTGCACGTGGTTATAACTAGATTTTTAATCAGAGTTGCACTGGCCGCCTACTTTTACTGAGCCAGGCTATCTGATCAAGCATAAAGAAATATTAGCGAAGTTAAACTAGGGAGCGAGGGGCAAATGCACCTTACGCTCAAAATCTGAACTTCAAATAATGGAAAGCAACCACTGAACGGATTTTTATACCCTCTGGTAGTACCAAACGCGAGGAGGTAACGCCATCTATCGGCAAAATAACTGAATTAAGATAGTAGAATTTTAAAGGCATTAGGAAGGACTGGATTGGACTTCAAATCATTAACTAAACCTGCTAAATCTTTGTGAATGTGAAAAGCCTCAAGAAAATCCAATTCACCTATGGAAGAAGCCTTTGGATGATTTTGCAGACCCAAAATCAAAATTACGGTTAAAAGTCCAACTATGATACGCTATTGAAGACTTGTTAATTTCGCCTTTTTTGACATAAGATTCATGTTCCTTGATACGAAACTTCAACGCTCTTTTTCTTTGGCCAATATATCTTAAACCACACTGACACGATATACTATAAATTCCCCAAGAATTCAAGACAGAAACGCAATCTTTTAGAATCGAAGGGTGAATTTTATTAATAGGGGAGAAACCGACTTGAAAATTGAATTTCTGGAGAATCCGTGCAATTTTATAGCTAACAGAAGGATAAAATGGAAGCACGACAAGGTCATTAATATTATTTCTAACAGTGGAATGTCTTCTGGGGGAATCTGAAAATTTTTTAACGGCTTTATCAATAATCACGGGAGAAAATCCACGGTCAATCGCAACTGCTCTCAAATAATTAAGTTCATTGGTAAGCAAAGATTCAGAGGAACAAACTTTAAGCGCGCGGAAAACATAATAGTAAAAAGAAGCCATTTTTTGCTTAACAGGGTGGCATGACTTGGCATGGGGTGGTAAACAAACTGCAAAGGGTTTACGGTACACAGTGGTGCTAAAATCGGTTTCATTGCGGATTATAAGAATATCGAGGAAGGGGAGGGAGTTGTTGGATTCAGTTTCAAGAGCGAATTGGATGGCTGGATCAATTGAATTCATAATAGATAGAATCTCGGATAAATCCTCTTTATAACCGTCAAAGAGTGCGAAAGTGTCGTCAACATACCAAATCCAAAGACGAAAAGATAATTTATCAAAATATTTCATCTCAAATAGTGCATATAAATGTCAGCAAGTACCGGACTGAGAGGATTACCCATAGCCAATCCTTCAACTTGACGAAAATATGCATTTTGGAAAACAAAGTGGGTTTGACTTTAGTAAGAGAAACTTTAGTAAGCGAAACCAACTCATTAATTTCAGTATGTGTGAAGTGAAATTCCCGAAGCCTAGTTTCAAGACAATTTAGTGCTCCTTCGACCGGAACATTAGTAAACAGTGATTTGACATCAAATGAAACCATAATGGAACGAAGTGGAGAAATATTTTTAAGTTTATCAATGACTTCAACAGAATTTTTTTACAGTGTGAATATTGTTAGCAAGTAGATGAGAAAATCAGGAAACTAAATATTTGGCCAAAGGATATGAAGCGGTACCTATGTTGGAAACAATTGGTCGAAAAGGAATACCGGTTTGTGGACTTTTGAAGAGCATAAAGTCTAGCGCAATTAGTAATAGGTGGAATAAGTGATTTCTTCAACTGAATTGGCAGAATGTGGGAAGATTTAATAGCACTTTTTACTTTCGTGAGGTCCGAAGTTTTTAGGGATCTTTAGGGATCGAGCAGTATGGGCCTTCATTTATCAATTTAGAGACTCCAGTAATATAATGTGTGTTTGTCCATAACAACGATCTGTCCGCCCTTATCAGCTTTAGAGGTAATGATATTAGTATCAGAATGAATTTCACGTAAGATCTCATTTTCCTTTTTGCTAAGATTCGAACCCAAAGATTTGTTGTTAAAATTAACATTATGAGTAATTAGGTAGCGGATTGTATCCTTCTGCGTTTCCGAAATTTTGGAGAATTTAAAGGCTTTCTCTATAGGGGCGATGATTTGAGGAATTGAAGGTTTAGATGTCTTTGAAAAGTTGAAATTATATTTTAATACTTTTAACTGATCCTCCGAAAGATTCCTATTGGAGATATTAACGATGGGGTTAACGTTTACAGTGGGAAGATCAGCTTGTAAGTTACGCCTTAAGCGTACGAAATTCTTGAATCATCTACAGTTTCTACTTAAATGCAAACATCAAAATATCATTCCCAAATTTATACATGTGAAATGTAGCCTTAAAGCTTCCGTTCACGTTTCAAAAATTTTGCATAAATTCAAATTGGCACTTCTTCGTCACATTATAAGGGACACACGCAAAACGTTATCTAAAATTGAATTTGAATTATATTACCTCCATTTAAAAATTGCTAATTCCACTGAAAATTTTTCCTCATTTGAACATACATCCTGGTCTAGATCCGATACCGTTTGTCAACGGCATAAAAATGTGCTTATTTCTAAATTCCTAAAACTCACACACCAGTCGGATAATCTCAACTATCTAGCTGATCTTCCCACTGTAAACATTAACCCCATCGTTAATATCTCCAATAGGAATCTTTCGGAGGATCAGTTAAAAGTATTAAAATATAATTTCAACTTTTCAAAGACATCTAAACCTTCAATTCCTCAAATCATCGCCCCTATAGAGAAAGCCTTTAAATTCTCCAAAATTTCGGAAACGCAGAAGGATACAATCCGCCACCTAATTACTCATAATGTTAATTTTAACAACAAATCTTTGGGTTCGAATCTTAGCAAAAAGGAAAATGAGATCTTACGTGAAATTCATTCTGATACTAATATCATTACCTCTAAAGCTGATAAGGGCGGACAGATCGTTGTTATGGACAAACACACATATATTACTGGAGTCTCTAAATTGATAAATGAAGGCCCATACTGCTCGATCCCTAAAGATCCCTAAAAACTTCGGACCTCACGAAAGTAAAAAGTGCTATTAAATCTTCCCACATTCTGCCAATTCAGTTGAAGAAATCACTTATTCCACCTATTACTAATTGCGCTAGACTTTATGCTCTTCAAAAGTCCACAAACCGGTATTCCTTTTCGACCAATTGTTTCCAACATAGGTACCGCTTCATATCCTTTGGCCAAATATTTAGTTTCCTGATTTTCTCATCTACTTGCTAACAATATTCACACTGTAAAAAAATTCTGTTGAAGTCATTGATAAACTTAAAAATATTTCTCCACTTCGTTCCATTATGGTTTCATTTGATGTCAAATCACTGTTTACTAATGTTCCGGACGAAGGAGCACTAAATTGTCTTGAAACTAGGCTTCGGGAATTTCACTTCACACATACTGAAATTAATGAGTTGGTTTCGCTTACTAAAGTTTCTCTTACTAAAGTCAAACCCACTTTGTTTTCCAAAATGCATATTTTCGTCAAGTTGAAGGATTGGCTATGGGTAATCCTCTCAGTCCGGTACTTGCTGACATTTATATGCACTATTTTGAGATGGAATTATTTGATAAATTATCTTTTCGTCTTGGATTTGGTATGTTGACGACACTTTCGCACTCTTTGACGGTTATAAAGAGGATTTATCCGAGATTCTATCTATTATGAATTCAATTGATCCAGCCATCCAATTCGCTCTTGAAACTGAAACAATCCAACTCTCCCCTTCCTCGATATTCTTAAATCCGCAATGAAACCGATTTTAGCACCACTGTGTACCGTAAACCCTTTGCAGTTTGTTTACCACCCATGCCAAGTCATGCCACCCTGTTAAGCAAAAAATGGCTTCTTTTTACTATTATGTTTTCCGCGCGCTTAAAGTTTGTTCCTCTGAATCTTTGCTTACCAATGAACTTAATTATTTGAGAGCAGTTTGCGATTGACCGTGGATTTTCTCTCCCTGATTGATTATGATAAAGCCGTTAAAAAATTTTCAGATTCCATCAAAGAAGACATTCCACTGTTAGAAATAATATTAATGACCTTGTCGTGCTTCCATTTTATCCTTCTGTTAGCTATAAAATTGCCACGGATTCTCCAGAAAATTCAATTTTCAAGTCGGTTTCTCCCCTATTAATAAAATTCACCCTTCGATTCTAAAAGATTGCGTTTTCTGTCTCGAATTCTTGGGAATTTATAGTATATCGTGTCAGTGTGGTTTAAGATATATTGGCCAAAGAAAAAGAGCGTTGAAGTTTCGTATCAAGGAACATGAATCTTATGTCAAAAAAGGCGAAATTAACAAGTCTTCAATAGCGTATCATAGTTGGACTTTTAACCGTAATTTTGATTTTGGGTCTGCAAAAATCATCCAAAAGGCTTCTTCCATAGGTGAATTGGATTTTCTTGAGGCTTTTCACATTCACAAAGATTTAGCAAGTTTAGTTAATGATTTGAAGTCCAATCCAGTCCTTCCTAATGCCTTTAAAATTCTACTATCTTAATTCAGTTATTTTTGCCGATAGATGGCGTTACCTCCTCGCGTTTGGTACTACCAGGGGATATAAAAATCCGTTCAGTGGTTGCTTTCAAGCTAATCATGCAATAGACAAAATGCAAAATTACCTCTATGCCATAGAAGACTGGTGCACAAATTGGCGAGTAAAAATCAATGTTAGTAAGTCACAACTTTTAATTCTTAGCAAAACTAAGAAAAATATTGCTTTTAAAGACCTCTACCTTTTTCAGGAAGCTGTTACTCTGGTCACAAAGGCCAAATACTTAGGAATTATTTTGAACCAAAGGCTCACATGGTCTAATCACATTATTAGTGTCAAGAGCAAAGCCTATGGGCATAATATGCAGATTTCTCCCGGTCATTGGAAAATATTCAAATCTTAGCTTGCGTACCAAAAAACATATATATACCACTTGCATTCGACCGATACTTTGTTATGCTGCTCCTGCTTGGAACACGGTCACTCAAACTCAACTGCATCAATTACAGGTAGTGCAAAATAAATTTCTGCGCATTATTACTGATTCTCACTATCTTATCCGCAATAAACTTTTACACAGAGACTTAAAACTTGAGACGATTCCAGATTACATTAGAAGATCTAATGAAAAATTCTTCAACAAAGCTGTGCAATGTGACTTTGTTAATTACTCCCAAGTTTTTAATTGTGAAATTCTCTTCGAAGATAGAAGCGTCAGACCACTTGCAGCTCACACCTTCGAGGAGACGACAACTTTTTCACTTAGATCCTCAATTGTTAGCTATTTACACTTCCAATGCATCTGATTTTGATTGAAGTTCCTCTGTAGTTTGAATATTGTTCTTGAGATTGTAAAACTAGTGCTTGAGATTTTTCGCATTGGGTGATGAAATAGTGGTATTTAACGAGGTAGTCTAGGTTCTTGAATTGCTGTAGTGAATTGCGTTGTATAGTTGTATTGTGTTGTATTGTAGCACTACTGATTGATGTTGTTTAATTGTATTTGAATTTGTCATTGGAACTATTGCTGTAGTGTATCTTCTCGTATTGTTGTCATTGATTTCCATTGTCTTGGGTCCTCCTTGAAACGCTCTGATCGCTCGTCACATTTTGCGAACTTGTCTGATTGGATTGTCTTGCTCCTTTGGTACTTCTCTTCTTCTCCTTATCTCCGTTTTCTCATCTGAGATTTTCTCCACGTCCGGATTTATTTATGTCAAGTGCCCTTGGGCTTTAATTTTGGAACCGGCAACATTGCTCTTCGCAATAGCTCGGTCAATTATAGAGTCTAAGTCTAAGCTTTCCATTATTTGAAGTTCAGATTTTGAGCGTAATGTGCATTTGCCCTCGCTTTCTAGTTTAACTTCGCTAATATTTCTTTATGCTTGATCAGATAGCCTGGCTCAGTAAAAGTAGGCGGCCAGTGCAACTCTGATTAAAAATCTAGTTATAACCACGTGCAGTGCTGATAAGGACCACGTGTTTCTGTGACTCCTTCTCCTATTTTCTTCTTTCTATGTATTTCTTTCTCCTGATGAGGAGGGACCTTTAGCTTCCCTCGAAATCGATTGAGTGTTTCATTATACCTACGCTAAATACAAGGTTGTTTTTTTACGATATTAAGCGTACCAAACAGTTACTACAAATCAATTATGCTATTTAAGTACCAATTCCAAAAAGGTTAAAACAGAATGAATTAAAATGATTTTAAAAGGAAAAAGTAATAAAATGAACTTATTTCATTATGTTGATTATAAATTAAATCTTTGCAGCCAAGGCGTAGGATTCTTATTGTTCTGCATACGATATCTGCACACGAAATGTTTTAATAAGTTTTCTGTTTCCTTAACGGATGATTGTAGGCATACATTTTCAAATAAAGAAATGTTCTAAATGATGCAAGTAATTATGTTCTGCCATTTTTAGATTTAAAAAAATCAATTTTATAAAAATTACGAAAGCTAACTATTTTACTGTCCCTATAATTATATTGAGTAAATGTTTATATTCATTACAAAAAATATCAAAATATAGGGTTTCTGAAACACATCAATTCACCGAGATGTCGTTTTCTAAATGGGAGAATTTTGATATCTTTTTTGATTGTCGTGAGACTAACCCTGATATGTCAGGTTACAAAACATTGGAAATATTTGAGGTTGATTTTTTTCTTTAATGGTACTTTTTAATATTGCCAATCTTTAATGTTGGTTTTTTCCTCTTTAATAGTTCAGTGATATACTTTGGAGATTTATTAGTGCGTAATATTCTTTAATTTATAATTTTGCTCGTATTATGAATGGATTTTTATAAGTAATTTGTAAGCAGTCAAGTGTAAAAAAATGCGTTATTATTACTCTTTTGCAGTTTTATTATTTTAGGCTCAGAATGTAATAATTATAAAAATCTTAAATTAGAAAATATTTTATTTTTAATTATAATTATATTATATTAAGTCAATGTACTCTTTGCCAATACTAAAGCCTACCACTGTTTTCAGGAACACGAATTCTATATGATTCTGTTATTAAGATCATCTTTTTGGAGAAAATTATATTGATCAATACTTTCCCAACAAATCTGAATATTAAGAGTAGTGATTAAAATAGTCATTTAATCTATTAACATCAGACATCTTTTTACAAACTGATATTTCTTTTTGAATTTAACGAATTTTTGATTAAGAAAACTCAAAAATTTCAAAACGAGCAGTAGCAACATTGTAGGGAATAAAACATTTTTTTCTCCAGTGCGCAAAGCAAAACTGTCTATCGGAAATTCTAAAGATGTTCTTTTTAAATATTTTTAACATAATGTGGTGTTAGTCCAAATGCTTTAGAAACCTGTATGTATCTGAAAAAAATCCCGTTTGGGCATAATATGAAAGCTTTCAGATATTTTTACTATTTTTTTAAATTTAATTAAATTTTTAAATTAAAAAATGGCCTAACATGAGTAAATTCATCATTTAAAACATGTATACATTCCGGAGTATTTGTCCACGACCAGCAGTTGTAGAAATAAAGGATACACAAGGAGCTTATCGATATGGGTATATACACTAATTATTAAAAATTATACTAATATTTCATTTTGACGAAAGTGATTACTTCATGTCAAAATGTACGCCTCAAATCGTAGCTCCTTTCTTTCTTTAAATCAAAAGTAGTTTAAAGCAACAACAGCAATACAACAAAAATAAAGAATTCTACTTTTTAAGAAGTATCTCTAGAAACATAGTTTTTCAAAAGGACATGAATGAGTTGTAAAACACCTACTTATTGAAATAATTACTGATGAATGTCTTGGAACAGAAAGTTTTCCTATTTTCTTCCACTTTTGCCTCCGCACGTCCAGCTGAAAGATATCTTTCACAGATGTAGCATGCTGCTTACTTTCCACAAGTCCACCAAATATCCAACCTAGATTTAAATGACTTGAGGCACCACTATATACAGTAGGTTTGGGTAGGTCAGGACCATTCATCCAACTGAAATACATTGAGTAACATAAAAAGTGCTTATTTTAGAATACAATGAGAATATTTATGTAATTGTACAAGTACATTAAGTAATGTAATTGTACATTCCAAAACAATTACTTTGATCAAACTAAATTACTGCAGTACATATGAATTGTGAATTTTAAAATATTATTTATTAAGAGCATTGTTACAAAAATAAGTAGAAGTACAATTATAAATTACCAATATTAAAATTATATAGCTACTTTAATTATTATACTTTAATTACAAGAACATGAATTTTTAAATCTTAATTTCATGTTTTTCCCTGTTTCAGCGTCCATTATGGCGTAACATCATAGCTTTTTTTCTCCTTATATCATTTCAACTCTTATTTTTATTGCTAGATTTTTCAATATTCAGTTTTCTTTCTGTTTTTTTCAATCAACTGAGACTTAAAGAAACATTACAGTTTCAGTTCTTCCATCATAGGTGATCGTGACTTTAATTCAATAATTATAAGAAATCTAGTGTAAATAAATATGAAAAGGAAAATCTTGACGGTAATTTGAAATATTTAAATCAACATATGTGATCTACGGAAAAGTAGGATAGATGGTTTTTTTTTTTTTTTTTTTTTTTTTTTTTTGTAAAACTCATTATAGTTAGCTTTTTCATTCAGACTCTCTTATTCTTATAATACCAAAACTTTTCAAATCCTAATTTGGTGTTAATTTATTTCAAAACAATATATACATTAAATTCATTTTATGTCAAAGAAATGACTTAAGAAGCACCCGTATTTTAATAAATTTACAATTTTTTTCTTTTCATTTTGTTCTGCTAATTCATCATTGTTTAACTGAATAAGATACCTGATCACCACCAGTTATATCTCAGCTTTCACTCCTAGCTGTGTAACAAATTGGGCGCATGATTGTTCTCGTATAGCATTGTTCATATATTATATTGCAAATTAAAAAAAGGTTCCCAAATACTTTTAATTCGCTAAGTCCTCAGTGCAGAAAATTCTTCTGTGGCTTCTAATGCCAGAATATAGGCCAAAGTAACAGTTTACAGTGCACAGTTTATACTATACCTTCGTTAAATTCAAAACAAAATTAAAATTATCATTCAGAAAAAAATTCATTTCAGAAATAAATTATAAAAATCTAATTAATTTTAAGTAAATAGATATTTTAGAAACCATATCATTCAGTAAACGAATTTAATGGGAAGACTGCTACGACTCATGGATTATTCATTTTCGTTTAATTATATGAAATTAATTCCTATGATTGAATTTTGTGTTCAATATATTGTCGATAGATAGCTCTATAAACGTACCTTATAACGAAGAAAACTCACATATTTCTGAAAATGCTTTGAATGCATACAAACTTTCATTAACATAATCTCCTTCAACGTTATTTTCAAACTGGTCGATAAAATGGCAGGTGTTTGCTAATGCTCATTCTATTACAACATCAATATTAATGGTCAGATTCTAAAACCACGTAGACTGAGTATCACTTTTAGGAAAATATTGAAATATTCCGCTGTGTCCTTAACAGCCATCCACTGCTCCCCACTCTAACGTGGCATGCAATTTGAGATGAAAAGCATTCCAAGGAAAATATTTCATACAGAACAAAATAAATAAATAAAACAAAACAATTTTAAGAAAGGTTGTAATGGAACTAATTTATTAACTACAATTAATTGTGAACAGTTTTTATGATAAAGGCTTAATTACAGAAAATTAATTTTGATATACCTATTTGACTGAGGATCAAATATTAAAGTACTTGAGGAAATTACTTCTTCATCTTCTTGGCAAGTCATGCCCCCAAAGACATACACTAAATTATTTATAACAGTTACCGCTGCTCCTGCAATAGGATATGGCGAAGATCTGCATACTGTCCAGCAGTTTTCTTGAGGATTATATGCTTCAACAGATGAGATAATACTAAGGGAAGAATTACGCAATCTTAAAAACGAAATTTCACCTCTTAGTAGGTCGACAAATGAGACAAGATTTCCTACAAAAATATCGTGAAATTAATACTAAAAACACATTTAAGTGCAACTCGATACTTCCTTATTATCTGCACCCAATTCACTAATTCACAAACTCGCCAATGAATTGGCGATTTTCTGGAAATACCTGAAGTTCCATTATGGAAAGATAAAGAATGCGCGTATAAAAATATTTATTTATTTATATACGTACAGAGGGTGTTTACACGTTTATAGAACGATTTTGATAAAGAATTAAAGAAAAGCAAATATTTGAGAATAAATATTTTGGCAACAATTTTTTATTTGAAAATGTTATCTGTAACTTTTAAACTTATTCTTCTTCCAAATTGTCGCATGTAAATAAGTTGTCAATTGAATGGCATGTTTTTGCGCTTTCCGAAGAAAAACAGTCCTATTCCATAATTCAAAATTCTTTTAAGTGCATGGTATTAAAATCTCTAATTAAAAAATAAGCATCATTAGTAACCGGAAAGGTAAAAACCATCAAACATTATTTCTACATGGAAAGAAGACTCCAACCGAATACCCAAATTAGAACTCCAACCGAATACTGATTCCAATGTTTCTAAAGTTAAATCATTGGGAACACAGAAACTCCACCGACGACAGTAATCAATTACAGAGTCTTTAAATACATCTGGAGCAACAATAAACAAAATAATAAACCAAGATTTACAACATAAAAAAAATTATAATAATAATAAAAAATAAATAAATAAAAACACGTGATATTTGCCAGCTTTTGCCGAAGCATATGGCTCAACGTAGAACAATTTGTAGAACCCAGTAAGAAAACTATTTAGTCGGATATAAATGGAAATAAATGTGACCCTTGATAAAGCATGCATTTACCTAATTAACGACAACAAAAATGATCCATTTATTATCGAAGACAAAGAGAAAAAAGTAGGAATATGACTGCGTCAATGCAAGGAAAATTTCAGTCAGGAGCTTGTGATTGTCACTGTATTCTCTTACAATGGGAAATTAAACATAAGAAGAATGGAAAAAAGCGTTAAAATCATCTCAACGTACTATGAACAGAACGTTTTATGTATGATATTTACAGCAAAAATTCCATTTCTTTGCCCCAATAACTTTCAAAGAATGAAACTTTATCACGCCATATTTCGAAAAGTATGACTGCATTTGTTAGACAAACAAGGACTGACGTAGGTTATTTCAACATACAACTTTTCAACGTTCCAGAGAAATCCCCTTGCAATGTATCTGTGGACTATTTTGCCTATCGTCTTTTGAAGAGAACTCTTTCTAATCGCAACTCTATCGCAACTGATGAACTCCGGAAATCAATACCCCTGGAAATTTTATGAAAAGGCAATCGCATCGTGACTTCCATGCATCGTGATTTTCACGAACTGATAGCATAAAAATCACGACCCAGATTTATTATAGTCCAGAGAAAGGTTTTCAGATAGAACATTAAAAAAATATTCTTTGCATTTTAGACAAAAATTAAACGTCTACGAAATTGTTCTAAAAATATGTAAACACACTTTATATTTATACATTATTATTTTAAGCTCATTATTATTATTATTATTTTATGCTCATTATTATTATTATTATTTTATGCTCATTATTATTATTACTTATTTATTATTAAGCTCATTATTTTATGAATACGTAAGGTATTTCTCCCGCCTTCTTAGCATGCCTTCGTGGTGTGGTGGGCTGCACGCTGGGCGCGTATTCCAGAGGTCCGTGGTTCGATTTCCGGGGAGGGCGTTGCTCATTTTTCATGACTCCTGCTTCCAAAAAATCGTAATATCTCTACAAATGATTTTATGGTTTGTAATACCATCATATTATTCATAAAATAATGAACTTAAAATTAATGAGTGCCATAAAAATTACACAAAAATTGCATTAAAACTTTATGTCGTAAAAGTGCAGAGCAAAATTTATCTAGGTTAGATAAATAATACATAATGTCTGAATCTATTCTACAAATAACAATTACAATTTACATCATACACTTGAAAATTTTGAACTTCCATACATTTTTGTAAGCACTAACTATTCTAGTTTATCAAAAAGAATAGAAAATAAAACAGTTGAATTGCAGAAATGTTATTATTATAAAGTATTTAACATTTATTTATACACAAGATAATTAACCTAAGTGTAGCTATTTATAACAGAAAACCGTACCAGGATAAAAAAGTACTGTCGAGTCAAAAATGTATAAATAAATAAATAAATAATTAAAATAAATTAAATGACAAACTAATAAATAAATAAATTAAAATGACTAACTTTGGTACCTACAGAGCTATTATATTAAATAATGATGTATCATATATGCAAATATTTTTTATGCTGTCTCTTAAAATTTGAAAGAAGAAGAAAGTACAAAAAGTACAGGAAAATTTGAAGATATGCTTTGAACACAGATAAATATTTCAGTCTAAAATTATTTTCGTTACGCAAAAAATTTTAAAATAGATTATAGAATGTTTTAGCAAAAGAAATAGTAAAAAGCAGTAATATTTAACTAGTCTATGTTATATCATGTTAGTCTTGTTATGCTAGTCAATGAATTTTCATGTTAGTCTATGAGTCCCGTGTAGTCTTTTGATAGTTATAATAAGTAGATTATTCCATTATTTAAAAAATTAGAATCTAGATATTATCTGAATTAAATTTAGATCCAGGCAGAAAGCATGTCGATGAAAGGCTGTATTTTGCATAAAAATGAAATTTTCAAACACTGAATCTAATTTACCTACATCAGAAGGTCTGCTTTGAGGGGAACATTATTTTTTTTCGGAGTGGGAAACTACATTTAAGTCTGGTAGATTCTAACGAAAACTTCAGCTGAACTGCAGCTGAAGTCATCTGATCAAAAGAGATCGAAAACATTAATTGTAATTTTCATATAAGTTTAGGAAAAACAACTGAAACATTTCCTTATATTAAATTTAATAACCTTTTATGCATTTTATATTCTACTTGGAATGCATCACATTAAAAAATAAAGGGTGAGGACACCTAAGTACATAGCAAAAGGAGGTACAGGACAAAAAAAAAAGTTCGAGAACCACTGACGAAGAAATTTGCATTTCAGAAAAGACGAGCAATATTCAGGTTACGTTTTGAAATAAAAGCTTTTAGTGAAATGACTTTTGTCAATAGCTTTTGTGTGCCATACACAGCTTCAAATGTTTTTCTTATCAACCCGTATATTGAATTCTGCATCAGAAAATGCATAATTCGATAAACGATAATTCGTTAACGACAATTGCAAGAATAAATAACGTTCGTACTTAATTTCATTTGGAATACGAAATATGATTTTGTATTTTCAAGGGCACATTATACATGTTTTGGCAAAAGAAATAAAAGAAAGCAGTAATATTTAACTTGTCTATGTTATATCATGTTATCAAAGGCACATTAACATGATATAACACTGTCTCAGTTTTAACATTTCATTACCTTGTTATTTAAAATAAGATTCTCTCTAGTTACACTTTTTATACCTAAGAAGTTTTTAAGGAAAAATATACTGATGGATGTATAATTTTGAAATCATTGAAACTTTGAATACATTACTAGGTACAGTTTGCGTAGTTTTTTAATTAAAGCAATTAAATAATAAAAATTTATTCATAAAACTTCATTTAATTTAAATGAGCAAATTTCACAAAATCCATGATCTACTTTAGTGAATCTATGAATATTTATAGAAAAATTTCAAAACATTTCAAACTTTTTAAACTTACTCTTCATTTTCATTTCGACCTCCAAACACATAAATTATACCTCCTACAGCAGCAACAGAATGGAATGCCCGAGGATAATTCATAGGAGTCTTTTTCTGCCATCTTCTTTCTGACAAATTATATATAACAACATCATGGATGATGTGTCGATTATTTACAGATTTCTTAAGATCAATTCCTCCTAGATGAAAATATAGATGTTTCACGATGCATATTAGCATAATAAAAATTGCAATCTTAACGTACTCAAGTCATAATATCAACAAGAAATGTGGAGAAAAATCTATCCCATGAACAGTTATTTAAATTCCATTCATTGCAAATTTTAGCATCTAATAAATGTTTAAAAACAACATCTTAGAACAATTAATTTATTTAAAAATATAATTCAGCAGTGATGTCCCATTTTAAATTTGAGATCAGATAGTAAGAGCAATATCAGATACACAATAAATTTGGGAGGGTTTGCTGGTACCATATTTTGAAAGAAATACTGAAAGACAGATGTAGGCAAGTAATGCATAAGGTATGGAAAAGATAAATGATTTTGTAGGAATCCTCACTTTTATCTATTAACTAAGTGTTGAGGAACTTAGTGAACAGCTAAGCGAATAATTGCTTAAGTTCAATAAAAGAAACGTAAACTCAAGAATGGTTGATTATCCTTTATTTCCAAAATAAAGATTGACAGACGATCCCTTTCTCAGTGCGTACAGCAAAGGCTCCACTTGGGCTTAACTCAAATTTATAATAAATAAAAACTTAACTAATGACTAACTAAAGAGAGTTAGCTGAAGCTAACACAATTTCTAAGCTAGTTAGCCCGCAATATTAAATTAGCTAGCGAAGCTATGAAGGGCACGTAAATGGTCGAGCGTAGTAACAGCTTAGAGAGACGTAGCCAAAAGGCGCGCTATTCAAAAAATCTAATTCTCTCTCTACCGAAGTCAGTGGAACTTCGACTTAACTACTCGTCTGCTTTTTATTTGCATTTTACGCGATTCTAAAATCTCATTCTGGTAAGGAATTGTAAGATGAAGCTAGAAGATATAAGAAATGTGAATAAAACTAAAAATAACTGTTTTAAACTTAGGATATAACTACAATTTCACATGTTATTAAATTCAAAAATAGAAACATCACAGATAAATGGGAAATGTATGCAAAAAATAGTAAGAGCAATATCAGTTTCTTATTTTTCCCGTTACAAGCAATTTACAGCAGTTTAATTATTACACAAGCCCTTTAACTACGTGATATTCTTCTTAGATTAAAATTAATATTATTTAATATTATCCTTTGACACTAAAGTTGTAATTAAAAAATATTCGTATGAACTATAAGGCATACGTAAATTTCCTGTCATTCTATCATACAGATCATTTGAATAATCTAGATCTGAACAGCCTAGATCAAGAGAAATAATATTCCTCCAGTAATGACAGCTTTTAAGAAATAAAGGTCAGAGCTGAAGATAACACCAACAGAACACATGAAGTCATTTTAATTATCCCAATACAGAAAAAGATATCACGGACATGAACTTCAAAAGGGTAGAACAGCTTGTTATTCTAAATTCAAAATTTTGGTTTGTTGAAAATACACAAAATTGTTCATTGAACAAAGGTTAAAATCATCGATTACTTAAAACCCATAGAACTCGAGTCTACAAAAGGATTAAATTAATTCTCAGTTGGTTCCAGGGTTTGTATCCCAGCCCCCCACATTGCACTTCAAAAAAAAAAAAAAAAAGATGGTACACAGAGCACAGCACTATTCTTGATAAAAAATAGTCCTAGGCTCTCAATAATACATTTCTTGAAAACTTGCAAAATATTGCAAAAGACTGGCAATTTGATGGAAAAATAATTTGCCAAAAGCCACTTGATACTATATTTTCGCTTCTGCTTGCACAGTTTATGTAATTTCAAAATGACTTAACACATAATTACATATAATACAAAACAAAAAACAATTAAACCAAAAAATAAAATAAATATCAAGAAATTAAAAGATATATACTTTTTTCTGCATACATTAATTACTTTACGAAATGCACTGTGAATTAAGTTACACACTTGACCCACACTTGTAAGCAAACAACAATAATAAGCAAATAATTGCATAATAATGCAAAATAGGTTTAAAATGTGTAAACAAAAATATGTTCAAACAAAGCACAAATATTTACATAAAATACAACGATATTTTTAAATCTAAGAATAAAGGGTTGAATATAAAGAGCTTTCCTAGAACATATTTTCAGTCTGTTCATTACAAAATAATAATAAAAAAAATATCACCGGATTTTTTTTATAATTTCATATAGGTTTTTCGCAGATAGCTTCAGAAATTTTAATTTTAGTTAAAAGCTAGGTTTGGGCAAACAAGTTATTACTAATTTTGAGAAACATTTACACGAGGTCTAACTTCTGCATAAAATTTTAATTTTTAAGAAATGAAACAATCAAGCAATGAATCGAAAGATTTTTTAGAGTTCTGAACCAAATGCCACAGTTCTCTTTATTACAGGAATAAACCTTAAATAAACTACTAATTTATAAATCATAAAATAACCTAGCGATTTATAAATATAGAATTCGTCATTCAAGAAAATAGTCAGTAGTTTCATTACAAATCTAGACAGGTGATATAATTTACAAAAAGATATAGAAGCCTCTTGTAATATGACACATCATATTATTATGTTCTTCTTTAAATTTTAAGCTGCAGGACTGAAAACTCCATTTCTTTTCACATCCCTTTAGAGTGCGTTTTAATAAAAGAAAAATCTGATGTGTACGCCACATGCCAGCAACAATCATAAATCCCTTTGAACGCATATTTCATATTATTACACGCATATTTTTACGCATTTCGTTTAAACCGATTTCCTCGAATTTCATTAGAGATATAGCTCTGATTCAATTAATTCAGTTCTCACTTCTGCAGGCAAAAATATATAAAACCTCAAAATATCTTTATCAAAAACTGAAAAATATAAAACACCAAATACTGTTAATTAAAAAAGTAACTGTTACAATTAAAATTAGATATTGTACGCAAAAATAAGCAATTCGGCCAGCAGGCAAGACGGCAGATGTTTCGGTGCACAAAACTGAAAGTTTACTTTTGATTCCATTCAGCAAAAATATACTGAAGGTGCAAATCTTGGCTTAATTCACTATTCTCCTAAGTTTCAAATGTAAACAAATATGGCTACTATGGTTAAAAAAATTAGGCTTAGCCGCAATTAAGCAACTTTTAAAATGTTGATACTTCTACAACTATTACATGCATAGTAACTAAAGCATAAAATCCTTAACGGGAAGATAAGAACAACATAATTCAATCATAACAATAAAGCAAACAATGCACTATTTAAAAAAATATAGGAATAAAGCTCACTGAGCAAAGTAACAGAGTGGGTATATATATATATATATATATAATATATATATATATATATATATATATATATATATAATATGTATGTATGTATATATATATATATATATATATATATATACTTTGGTGTGGCCGATTGCAACCAAAAAGAGAAGTGCACAACTACATGTTAGAATAACCCTATATACAAAATGTCAACGTTCTGAGGCTACTCATTTTCGAATAATTCGACATACATACGTGGAGAGATGCATGCGAGCTACAATTTTTCGTGGCGTCTGTACGTAAAAAAATCTCTTCTGAATCCATTTCAAATCAGTTTTATAATTCGTTTGGAGAAAAAAGTGTCCTTTATTCTGTCTTTTTGTACAGATGTCACGCAAAACCATCGTTAAATTGCATTCGATAGAGGTCAAAATGGATATTTTCGTTGAAATATGGTACCCGAATATGTCCACAATTAGACTACTTCCTTTACTTCGGAGACGGAAGTAAGAACGCTGTGAAATCCATGGTTTTTCGATATCTAAAACTACATTAGATAATATTGTCAACAAGAAAGGGAAAAAAAAAAGACATCTAAGTTTAGCTTCAAGTAGAAAAATTGTTCCAAATACACATCCAAGGAAAATACGGAATGTTTCGAATGTTGCAAAGGTAAGATCGTTAAAGCTAAAAGAAAATCCGCCAAGTCAAAGGACAGTTACAAAATCATTGAAATGTTGTGCCAACTGTAAACAGAGTATTTAAAGCTTATTTGCATCTTAAAAAGGCGGAAAAGCATAATGTGCATCGTCTTTCTCCATGACATATCGCCCAAAGCAGAACGTGTTGAAGATTCTTTATGAGAAACATTTAACTGGACAAAAATAATATATAGATATAGATGAATCTCTCTGCTTAAATGTCTGCAGTAAAAAAAGATGCACTTATTATCATCAAAGAGGAGAAAATTCTTAAAACATGGTTTAAAGAACCTGAAAAATGTTTTTCAAAGGGATTTATGATTGTTGCTGGCTTTTCATATAATTGCAAATTAAAAATAAAAGGAGTGGAGAAAAATGTTAATATCAATTCCACATATTATTAGGAACGTATTTTATAACCAGTTTTCAAATAGGAAATACATTCCTTTTACCCACAGTGCCATCAATCAACTGCGTCAAGACAAAGCAAGCAGCCACACCTCCAAATCCACTCTTAATTTCCTGGAAAAAAGGGAGCAAGAAACGATTATCAAGGCCCCTTCACTCATTTTCTTAATAAATCTTCTCATGTAATCACTCATGGAGTTTCGCTCTTTTGGACATTTAAAGAGCGGATTGTCCAAAAGTCGACCTACAATCCTCCATGAAAGCTGTTCATGATAAAACACCTCTTCCGATGCTACAAAAGATTTTAGTGTCTTGGGAAATTATGGTGTGGAAAGATGGTGTAGAATAAGCGTTATCCAACAGAACATTTCAAACACAAAAATGTTAGGTAAATTATTTATGTAAATAAAATGAAAATTGTCTAAAAACGGGCGACAGCCTCTGTATATATAACTAATATTTTGAAATATTTATATGGTTTACAGTCACCTATACAAAATATAAATATATGGTTACGAAATTCCTAAATGCTCATAGACTATTGAAACCATATCATACAGTCAAGATGGAAAAAGGTATAAGTAAATTTATAGAACAAGAGTGAAAAAGTATGGTTTTATGCAAAACTAATATGTGTTAAATTCACTACTGCTATAAAAAGCAAAGAAAACCTTTTCAGTTATCTAAAGAATTAGCAGCATGAAACTGGAATGGAAACACGCGAACGTAAAATTTAAAATTTGGCAAAACATCAGTTCTTAATTTGGTGTACACACCAAAGTATTTCTGAACAACAGTTCTGTTTCGCATAATTTTAAATTGGCAGTATATTTCAAATTTCAGAAATCTCTTTTGAAGTATTTCTAATGTAGAAGTGAGCGTGCGGGGAAATTTACTCACAGAATAATACGTCTTCTAATTTATTTTATTTTTTGAATATATATTGCGTATTTTGAAATTTTGGCAAATTATTAGTAACTTTCGGGTAATTCTTTTCTCAGGGAATTTTTTTTAATGCAGTGCAGATGTGACAGATGATTTAGAAGTCAACACGCGTTTTGTGTTGACTTCTAAATTATGAAATTGTTAATCATTGCTTTAGAAAAAATTGGAGCTGAGAGCTTTCGGATTCATTGATTCAATTAAATATAGTGAAATATTTATCGAATTTAGATTCATTCGAACGTATTTCAAAATAAAGGTTGACCGAGTATATTTTGAATCAATAAATTCGGACTCCTTTTCATCTTAAAAGACACATAATACAGAAAACAGTAATCATGACTTCTTGAAACAATTAAGAATGGACTTTAAACCGCGACACTTCAAACAGAAATATCAGATTTAGAAAATAAACTAGCAATGTATATAAAAAATATTCTTAATCTTTCCTAATTTTTTTTTTCCTGAGAGATTAAAAAAGAAGCATGTGACCCGGACGTGATTCGAACACGCAACCTTCTGATCTGGAGTCAGACGCGCTACCGTTGCGCCACCAGGCCCACGTAAGACTTATGCTAAGAAAATTGTCATTAGATTAAGCATTCTGGATTCTTATCAATAGTTAAGCTTATATATAAGCATTAACATAACTACCTATGTGCAGATTGGCGATGTTTAACAAAAAATGAATGACAACGAAAAATTTCAATATATATATGAATATATTTCCAGGACAGGGGGTACACTATTTTTCTTCTGGTGTACAAATTCGAAATTTTTGTATATATATATATATATATATTATTATTATTATTATTATTATTATTATTATTATTATTATTACACGTATATTCCACGTTTTAATCAGATATTTATATCTCAAATGTATGAATAAACCTACTTACAAGACAGTTTTTGTTTGTTTTAATTTGATGTAAATGTCATAACGATCGCTTAAGAAGAGATTCAAAAATAATTATTCTCTTCGATTATTTTGCACCAAAACTCTATATACGCTTACATATTCAACTCTCAATATTTGCATAATTCCTGGGGGCATAATTAATACCTTTATTCAAGACGTTTCGTAAAAATAGACATAGTTTGCAAATTCTTTTAATTTTGCGCACGAGTGTATAAGAAAGTGTATTATACCAATTCGGAAAAGTCTACCGAGTAATTGAATTGACAGTTTGGTGAAACAAGCACCAAAAATTGAGTAACTGATAACTGATTTTATAATTATTTTCTAGCATCGACTCATATATCAGTTGAAAAATAAGAGATAAAAATCTATTTAAGTGAGGGCCGTTAAAGCGTAACAAAACTTCTTGAACAGAGAAAGTTCAGTTATTTTTCACTCGTTTTAGTATGCAATTTTAAATAGATCAAGTTGTTCAAATTATCGATTCGGTTGTGGACTATGATTAGACAGCAATTATTCAGGGTTTAGAGAACTGCGGATTCCCATTCTGTATTATATCAGCTTAACAACATTACAGAAGTTTCTATTAGCAAGCCTTCGTGTGTCTTATCCCAAATGTAAAAAATCTTATGTGTACACCAGATGACTTCCCTGTACGGAATATTAAATTATACGCATTTTTTCTGCATTTCATTTAAACTCATTTACTCGAATTTCATCAGAGAGATATTTCTCATTCAATTAATTCAATTCTCACTACGCGGCAAGGCAAAAATACGTAAAACCTCACAAAACATCACTAAAAATTGAAAGATCTAGAAAAACAAAAAAATATAGTTAAAACAATTTTTAAAAGTTTTTTTTTTTTTTTTTTTTTTTTTTTTTTTTTTTTTTTTACAAATGGTGGATACTTACTTACCTATAACAGCATTGACTATTACTAAGGCCAGAAGTGGTAGCCATTTTATTATAGAGGCACCGAATAGGCGACCACCGTTACCTCCTATGAAGGGACAGACAATTTTACATCCATGCCTTCTCCGGGATTCTAACCCGGGTCCTTTGGTATCACAGTCTGGGCGGCACAATTAAAAAAACGTTTTACAATTAAAATTACGTTTTCTGCGCAGAAACAAGCAATTTGGCCAGCAGACAAGAAGGCAGATTTTTCTTTTTTTTTTTCGGTGCACAAAACTAAAAGTTTCATTTGGGCCCCACTTGGCAGAAAGACACTGAAGATACAGAAACTAACTTAATTCAGTATTCTGCTAAGTTTGAAAGGTAAAAAAAAATATGGCTGCTATGGTGAAAAAAAATTAGGCTAAGCCGCACTTGACCAACTTTTAAATTGTTGATAATTCTACAGCTATTGCATGCAGATTAACTAAATTTATAAAATACTTAACCGGAAGAAAAGAACAACGTAATTAAATCATTTTTAAAGAAAAAATACACCATTTTTCAACATATAATAATAAAAAAAAACTGAGCTCACTGAGCCGTGTAATAAAGTGGTCTCACACACACACACACATATATATATATACTTTTGGCGTGGCCGATTGCAATCAAAAAGGGAGGTACAGAACCATATGTTACAGCAGTCCTAAATTTCAAACTTCTGAGACTACTCGTTTTTTAGTTGAGATACATACATACATACATACGTACGTACAGACGCCACAAAAAAGTCTCTTCTGAATCCACTTTAAATCAGTTTTATAATTCGTTTGGGGGAAAAAAGGGAGTCCTTTATTCTTTCATTACATACAGATGTCACGCAAAAACATCGTTAAATTGCATTCGATAGCTGTCAAAATGAATATTTTCGTTGAAATATGAAACCCGGAATTTTTCGAGATCACAATACTTCCTTTAGTTTGAACAAGGAAGTAAAAATAACAACCTTATGAGATATAATAATTGATAACTTTTTAACGTTTCACATTGAGCTAGAAACAATACAGCACAAAGCCTTCTTTCAGTACCGTAAGAAGAGATTGCCACACAGTTTCTTTAAAAGGATTCTATGTTATACTTTAACATACCTATAACATAAATACAACCATTTAAGAAAATAGCACAATGGTAACTCCTTGAAACGGGCATTAAAGTGCAGAGTTTCCATTTTGGCTTGACTGGATCAAGTGATAGCATTAAACGGCCTATAAAGGAAAGAGTAATATATGAAAAAATACCTAATTTATATTCAATATGCATACAAAAATACATTTTATTTATTTGCTCTGTTTTTTGCTTGCATCAGTATCATTTATATTTCTGAAAAAAAAAAAAAGTTTGTTGATTTACTGATAAAATATATTTCATTGATTAATTTCGTGGATATATCATGTACAAAATTATAAAATACAATTTTGAATCTTATTATTTAATACAAATAATTTTAACAATCAAGTACGAATGACACTTAATCCAGGTTCAAAGTAATAAAACGATTAGGATACCTTAGGTTGTAATATGTTAAACAGATAAACTACATATTCACGTAAGTCACAAATATACATTTTTAATATTTCTATAAGTTCAATATATAATACACAGTTCAAAATAAACATACAAAGAATGACTTTACCCTAATCTTGGAACTAAATGCTTTGTAAATACTGACAAAATAAATTATTAGATTTATATAATCCTCAACATTTCTAAAATTCTTAATAGTTCTCTAAATATTAACTTCATTGAATTGAGATTAAATGTGAGTTCCACAAGAAGGATTTAATATTAATTACTATGCGCTAAGAGAAGGAAAGAATACTTAAGATAGCCATCGGTGCGGCAAAATTGCGAATAATAAAGTTCATGTTCTGAGTTCGTAGTCCCTAGCGAGAAAAGTCCCATGTGGTAACATATGAATTCATCACATTAAATGGTGTGTTCACTAATTCAAGGTACGCCAAAGTTCTTCCTATCGCAGTCGAGAAAGTCGTCACCCGAAATAGCAGCATGCGAAAGAACAGAAGAGTCTCAGGAAACAATCTCTGAATATGATACCGTAGATTGGAATACACAGTTCAATAGTAGATTGGAATACATTGTTGTATCTCATTGCTGTGGCAATTTATAAGAAAAAGTGAAACTTCGGTAGAATCCACTAACCGGAACGAGGGAAGACATTCCAAAAGTAACTTCGTAATAAAACGCTGTAGGTAGGAACGTATCAGAAACGAGATAACGAAGCTCAGCCTATCGTTTTCATCCCGCAGGTTACTCAGCTCATAACAGTACTCTGTATTTCTGTCTCATATCCACACTACTCTTTATTCGGTATTTCTCTTCATTTTGCAAAACCCTTTCAGAACACATCACTAAACCATCTCTTATCTCTTTCTTTGCTCATTTCCTTCTCTTTTTCTCACTCCCCCTTCTTGACATTATTTTTAGACCAAAAGGGCTTTTTCCTTGAAGGACTATTGTTTTCGTGTTGCGATTTTGCGTTGGTTCACTATAAATGTCCGTTTCACTTTTCAAACTGTTACCACCAAAATACAGTCCTGCATTATATTTGAAGAAATTAAATAATGTGTGTGTGTTATTATGGCAAAGCCTCGAGGGCTATCGGTCTAACGGGGGGATGCCATCGTGGAGGACTTTCTAAGGGAAACTGGCTCGTATACACGTTACACATGGGGAAAACCACGAAAACGCCCTATGTAGCCAGCCCGTTCGCGGGATTCGAACCTCGGACCGTACTACCAGTGTTCAGCGACTTTACCGCTCGGCTGCTGGTGGGGCGAAATTAAATAATGAAAAATCTGCATAAATGTAAGTATATTTCTCGCATTATGATAAAACAACGGTACATAATGCCATCAAATTTTGAGTGACGTAATCCTACTGCGAATATGGGCATGTGGAAGCCCAAATTTTAATTTTGGAATTTGTTTTATTATCGATTTCATATTTTGTAAAATTTTAACGAGATTTTGATTAGCAAACTCAAGGATTTCAAAGCGAGCAATGACAAAGTTGTACAGAAAAAACACTATTATCTCCAGCGCGCGAGACTCTGTATCGGAAATTCTAAAGATATGCTCAATTTAAAATTATTCAAGAGCGATATTGCTCTTAAACTAAATTTTATGGTTTAAGTGCGAAGAACGTGATATTTAATACATAAAGGTAACAGACAAAATGTAAAAAAAAAAAAGTAATTTAAAATCAGAAACGTAATTTAAAATTGTAATAAATTACGAAACGTTTGGACGTAATTTAAAATCTGAAATTTTTCAGTTTTTTTAATTCCTTATTAAATTCTGATCTAATTATTAATTAACATTGATCTCTTACACGACCATACCTCACATTTTCTTATAAGATCCAAAAGCCAGTCCATCTTTTTATCAAACCAATTATAGTCAAGTACAATTAAAATATGCATCGCACTTTTTCTTTAATTCGTCCATAAGGAAGGCGGCTAACTTATTTGATTAGGCTTTCACCACAAAGGGAAACTGGCAAAACACCTCTTAAGCAATAACAGGTCTAATTAAACAATCTGTCTGCAATTCATTCCTATAGCAGTCTAAAGACTATGGCGGTTGACAATAAAATGGTGCCGTAGTGAAAATCAAGTCTTTTTTCGAGCTACCGCATCTCGCCTACTAAATTGAATTTTATTTATTATATCTTTCAACTTTCCGCAGTTTTAGAAGCTAGTCTTTTCGTCAGTTTAAGCGCAAGAAGCATTTTCGTGCTAGGCAGCACCAGTTCCCTTTCAGCCAGTCCTCAGTATCTTTAGTGATTTGATCCTATTAAAGGATAAGTAACATTCTCACTCTACTTCGAACAAAAAGGTCAAAGTTTTCTTTATTCGAAATCATTTCTGTCTATCCACTAACTGGTGCCTGTAAACCATCCAGAATCACTCATCTTTCCTAGCATGGAATCGAACAAAAATTAAAACGATTTCTGCAAAATCAGATTCTACATAACAAGTCTAACTTTTTTTCATTGCCTTACTTATGAATATACCTTTGATAATTCCTTCCAGTTACTGGCAAAGAGTTGAACTACAATTTGAAAACATGAAATTTATAAAACATACTGTAAAAAATAAGAACATTTTGATTAGCAAGATGTTATCACTTAATAAATATAAACTTATGTAGAAAAGTAAAATGGTTTTACATTATGTAATGTTTATTTTAAAATTTTTTTCAAACAGGGAAGCATACAAATTGAATGTCAAACACTTTTTATAAACTTGCAAAACTGTATGTTATCAACAGACTACATAATTTGTAATGATCCATATAAATCACTAGAAACATAATATTATGCAATCTTTTCGAAAATATGATAGATGAGAAAGATTTCAATTTGAGAGAAAGTTTAGAAAATTAGTCCAAGAAATTAAAAGTCACTTACTGAACTCACCTATAGCTACGGCATAAGAATCATCTTGAATATCTTCACCACCCATGACGACAATGTGTGGCACTGCTAAATATGAGTCAATTACAGATAACGATTTTACAAAAGGTGGCACATTACTCTTCGTTTCTTCCTTTTTAAGATATCTGTGTATGCCAAAAGGACGAAGTTGATACATATAATATTCATTAATAATGCAATTCAATTTTTATTATAATAAATGTAGTACAATTAAACTCTAAAAACCCAGTGCGGAGGGGAACAGGAAAAAAAATTTAGAATAATTAAAAATTCTAATTACAGAGAGGCCGCTTAATATGTTCGCGGTTAATGTTATCTGATATTGTGTTGTTATTATTCGGATATTGCGTTGTTATCGAACTGTCAAAATTCCACCCTTTTGTATACGAAAATATGGAAAACGCATCGCTTATTGGGATGAACAATTCATTATATGACGAAAATTAATTAAATAATCAAGTTCTTTAAACTGAAATAAAGTCGTCGAAAAAAAGGCAAAGTTGACAAATAAGGTCAAAAGAGATTATAAAAATTGTTAGGTCGTAGAGACGTTAGGTATTCTTTTTTTGGAAGCAGGAAGATGAAAAATGAGCAACACCTTCGCCGGATATATCATGGATATATCCACGGACCTCTGGAATACGCACCCAGCATGGAAATTACCACACCACGAAGGCACGCCAAGAAGACGGGAGAAATACCTTATAAGATGACCAAAATATTTCACCAAATAAGGAGATAAATAGCAAAATATCTTGGTTTCGATTTCAGTCAACCATTTATAACAAGGCAAACTTAGTTTTGCGTCGATTTTGAATTGCTCTGTCGATTTTAAGAGCGATGAGACACAGATTCATTCTTCTTCCGGAGTAAAACAATTTCTGCAGAATCTTTCTGTTTCTTTATAGAAAAAAAAAACAAACTACGACTGTTACCAAAACAGTCGTGGAGAAATGTGATCACAATTAAGCGGTGCCTACAGCAGACGTTTCGGCAATATATTCTTTTATAAGTCATCCAAGACTCTACACAGAAATAAATATATAAATAAATGTGTATACATGCAAATACTCTAATTAGATACTTACGTATTTTATTCTTTCCAAACATACGCCGGACTGATTTGCGCAGCTTTAAGCTTATATTCATTTTAAGTTTCTTACATCCTATTCATAATTTTCGTCTGTTGATTATCTAACTAAATAAAAAGTGACCTGCTCTATCATTATTGCCCTCAAATGGTTTTCGCAAGTTTGGTAGGGTCACTGCTAACTTTCGCAAACAACAGAAATGTACGTAAGTACTGTTATTTATATAACATAAATATGTTCAGAAAAGGAATTATTCCATTCATTAATATTGAAAAATATTTTAATCGATAAGAAATTTTTAAACTTAAATAACTAAAAATTTCCTTACTTTAATCGGATATTTATGTAAGAAAAATGTTACATGCTATGACACATATGCATGTGTAATCCAAAAAAATAAATTAATTAAAACATTTAAAATTCATCCCATATTCAGTTCTGAACAAACATTTGCAATAATAAAAAAAAACCAGAACTGCAAGGACTAATTGCACGAAAGGCGAAAACACACGTTAACCAGAAAAGAAAATAATAATAGAAAAAGAAATATTAATTTCCATCGTTCTTCGGATCTTCATGAAACGGTTGTGAAAAGAAAGAAATAACTACTGTTTCTAAAAGAAATACTAATCTGTTTCTGAATTAGCAAGACACAAATTTGAGTTACATACTTAAATTAATGTCAGAAAATTAATGAAAGTAATTCGTATCCCCTACAAGCTGGAGTAAGTAGTAGAAAAACTGCAAAATAATAGTATTTGAATCATAAATAGTTTTAAAATCAAAGAACGTTTTATTAATTCGGGTAAACTGAGTCTAATAAACAAATCCATGCAAACATTAGTAATCTAATACATGAAAAATTGATACAAAAAATATAGGGAAAAAAAGAGTTAATTCTAAAAACTGCTACTAAGAAAAAAGAAAAGTTAATTCTAAAATCGAAAAAAGAAGAGTTTGTTCAAAAAATTTTAACATAAGAAAGAAAAATGTTAGTTCTAAAAACTTACAAGTTTTAGAACTAATTCTTTTTTTTTTTTTTTTTTTTTTTCTATGTTCTTTTTGTATGAATTTCCCTTGTATTGGATTACTGGTGTTTACATGGATTTGTTTATTAGAGTAAGTGTACTTGAATGCTTTAAAAATTTTCAAAAGTTTTAAGCTTATTTATGGCTTAAATGCTGTAATTTGGCAATTTTTTGCACTACTTATCGCAGGCTGTAGGTGTTGGACTGATAAAAGCTCGAATTATCTAGATTATCTTTCTGAGATTAATAAATATTAATTTTTTTTTAAATTGTGAAGTTATTCAAATCAGAACTGATGTATTTACTTCTTTCGTTGCACGCACCAATTCCTTGATAACGATGCAGCGAAAGATGTAAATTATTTTTTCCTTTTTCTATTGCTATTTTTATTTTTGGTTTAAATTGCTTTTGCTCCATTCAGGAAATTAGCCAGATAAATATAGAATATGTGATGGATTTTAAATATTTTAATTTAATTTATTTTGCATTATTGCCACCATTTTTATTTAGTAGACTAATTTTCAAAATACAAGTCTTTCATATTTTTAATTACATTCAAAATTTAAATCATAATATTTAATTATGTATAATTTTTGTTTTATATTAAAGTAGCTTTTGGTTTGACTGTACTTCTATGTACAAATCGAAATGAGTTTTAAAAGAGCACAGAAATTATCACAAGCCATATATTCTGTCGCATTCATGTAAGAAATCACATGCTTCATATATTAATCCAGCATTTATGGGGATAAATAAGTAGTATTAAAAAAGGAATGAGAAAGCTTTTATCTTTATTATTATAAGCAAACAGTCATCAAGTTTCTTGCATTTTTAAAGTAAAATATTGGAACTTTATTAAATAATTACATAAGGCTGTTGGCAAGCAAGCCATTTTAATTTTTTTTAAGCTTTTAGAGTTGGCAGATTCAGGTTTCGGAAACTAAACGGTTTTTTTCAAATGAAGAAAATTATAGGATATATGATAAAGAGATAAAATAAACGAAAAAGCGTTAAATAAACGAAGGGCAACTTAGCTAGCCAATGGTTTAAAGTGATTTAAGTTTTACATGAGCTGTACGTGTATTTCATGGGAATATATTAAATTAATAAATCTTGTAATGTACTTTAATTATTGTACATTACTTTTATATTTTTACTAGCATAGCTACTGAAAAAATATTTGTAAAACTTCCATCATAATTGTTTACGAAAGATGAAATATTTTGTACAATGCAGTGCATTCTTAATTCATCAATAAATCCTAATATGAAAATGTTTAGGATTCTGGACAATATTCATTATTTCTAAAATTTATGCACAAAATTTAATGTTTGGAATTATATGTTTCTTTGGTAAAATGAGCATTTTGCTTCGAATAGGTATTAAGCATGTTTGTTTCCTTCTTTTTAAATTTCACGTTGATCTACAATTTTGCTTCCTGTTTTGCATCTATGAAAGTACTTGAAAATCTGATTAGTCAGGTTAGTATATTATAGTCAGTCCAAGACGATAATATACTGTGATCTAAGCTCTATAAGAATTATCTTTGAGATTAAAGAATTTTAACAAAAAATTTGAACTGTAAAAGAAATCTTAATTTTCGTAGATTTAAAATTTTACATAACAGCCAAATATTTTACTGTTACTTTAACCAAATTAAAATTTGTAACCAAAATTAAAAGTATTTTAAATGCTAATCAATGAAAAATCATGCAAAGAAAACAAAAGGATAAAATTTACCTGGCCCCTAAAAGAGGAAGCTGTAAACATTTGTCTAATTCGTGCCTGCTGGCCTGAAAAATGCAGTAGAAGACAAGAATCAAACGGCATATACGATGTATGTAGCTGCTCTATTGTATGTATCATAAAAGGCAATTTAAAAAAGAAAACTTTTGAAGATGTTTACTTTAACTAAAATTTGCTAATTTCAATTAAAAAGCCTAATTTTGTCATGTGGATTCAAACAGGTAAACATTTTTATTGTTATGAGATTTTAAACAGTGAACTAATACAATAATTTTGCTTTCTCATCTTTTCTTCAAGTAAATAGTACTGTGTATTATTTGAATTACTGCTACAATCCAGCATTTGAATTTTCGCATCGGAATAAAATTTTTACTTCACTATCTATAAAAAGGTGTTATTTAGTTCTATTAAAATGCATTTAGCTCTTTAATATCATGATTAAAATGCATTTAGCCATTTTATATCAAAATTGCAGTTATGCTGTATGTGATGTATGTAATTTAATTTAATTATAAATTTATATGTAATTTGTATTACGAAGCCATGATAATTCTATATTCACATTTCTTTTTAAATGATATGTATACATACAGTCGAATCCCGTATAAGGAATACCTGAATATAACGAACACACCTTTTGGTGCAATCCTATTTCCATTTCACTTTATGCTACTTTGTACTGTTATAGCGAACCTCCAAGAGTATGAAAATCGGATATAGGGAACTGTGTGGATATTTTCGATTCAAACTTTTCTGTGTTTTGCATTTTTTTCCCTGAAATTCTGTATGTTTTAAGGAAAAAATTGCTAACCGTTAAAATCATTCATGTTTAGGATATTAGGAATCACTCAGTTCCTCAAAAAGAATTTGGCGTTTAAGGATTTCTTCGGAGATTGGCCTCTGATCCAATAGCCTCTAGTGCCGCCTTAGAGTTTGAGAGGATTTTCACTTTCTCTTAGCTGAAATTCGGGGTATTAATCTGTCTTAGGGTCACAAAAATAGCCGCTACCTTCCCATAAAAAAGCAGTTGTCCACGTACCTACATAAAAGCAGTACCCATCTACCCAAGGAACAGACATTCGGTGACCCCTCAGTGAATGAACCGTCCATATAGATGTGAAACCAGTCCAGTTCAGGATACAGAGTATGTATAGCCTCAAGGGCCAAACTTTTTAAAGTATTTTGAGCTGTCTGAATTTTCAAACAACGTTGTTATATAAATTATGAAATCTAACATTTTACACGGTCCTATGCATATATTTCGTAAAATTTTCTATTCATTATAAACAACAAAACGTTTGACTTCCACAAGAGAAAAATTGATATAATATTTTATTTCGAAATAGAATACATTCTTTTATGATTCATTAGTGAGCAATATTGCTTAATATATAATTTTGTTATCATTAGTGCCCCAAAAGAATTTTGCTATCAGTATTTTGTAACTGGCCAAAAGCTTAAATATAAACTAATATTCTCATAACGTCTAAAAATCATACAAAATTTGTCAGACATAAACATCAAACATTTTGAAATTAAATAATATTTATTATTTAAACTTAAAATGCTATTTTTATTTGCCTACCTGCCAATATTGAAATTCGCCAGTTTTGTTTCCTCGAACATGAATTCTACAAGATTCTGTAAATAATATCTCCATTTTAAAAATATAAATTACATTGAACATACTTTTTACGACAGTCTGCATAGAAATGCTCTTCATTTAATCTGTTAGCATCGAAAATATTTTCTAAACTGGTATTTTATTTTTAGTTACTTACAAATGCAAACATTTCTCTCATAAATTTGTGCTTGTAGCCCGGATATGATGCCCAAATTTAAATTGAAACTGGTTGATTAAATTTTAGCGTATGGGAGTAATTCTTTTTGTATTTTATTTTTTATGGTGAGCATAAAATCCTTTTAAATATAAGTATATGGATAGGGAGAATATATAAATGTTAGATTTAGTAATTTATAGAAAACATATTTTTTTTTAATTTAAAAATGTCAAAGCATAAATACAGGGGTTGGACAAAAATATGGAAACACCTTTAAAAAAACATGTTTCTTTGCTTAATATGGTGTAGGAAACACGTTGGCATCCAAAACAGCTTGCAGTCTTCTCGGAATGGATAAATACAGTTCCTGTATGTTTGCCAAGGGTATATTATACCATTCTTCCTGCAAAACGGTGGCAAGTTCAGATAACGATGTTGGCGGTGGATAACGAGAACGCACTTTCCGTTCCAATGTAGACCACAAAGGTTCGATAATATTCAGGTCTGGTGACTGTAGTGGCCAGGGGAGATGGGACAACTCATCCTCGTGCTCAGAAAACCAGTCCTGGACAATGTGAGCTGTGTGAAGAGGGGCTTTGTCGTCTTGGAAGACACCATCACCATCGGGGAACAAAGTTTGTACGATGGGATGAACTTGATCGGCCAAAATATTCACATAAGTCTTGGCAGTCATGTGCCCTGACACAGTTATCATGGGGCTAGCAGAGAACCACGATATGGCTGCCCAAACCATAACAGGACCCCCGCCATGTTTCACTCTTGGCAACAAGCAGTCTGTATTATAGGCTTGAGATGGCGTTCTCCAGACATAAACTCGGCCAGAAGTGGGAAACAATGTGAAAGAAGACTCGTCGGACCATATTACTCGCTTCCATTGCTCTATAGTCCAGGCTTTATGACTTAAACACCACCTTTTCCTGTTACGGGCATTAGCATCACTGATGAGTGTCTTCTCAATTGCAGCACGACCAGCAATTCCCTGTTTATGAAGCTCCCTTCTAATTGTTTTGGTACTCACAGGGTTCGGTAACACAACATTCATTTCAGCAGTAACTTTTGCAGCTGTGGTCTTCTTATTTTTCGTCACAATTACCCTTAATGATCGTCTGTCACGATCACTCAGGACACACTTTCGTCCGCGCTGTGATTTAGCAGATTTTGTTTTTCCGCTTTTCAAATATGCGGAATAAATCTTCAATACAGTACCTCTTGAAACACTAAACACCTCGGCTATCTTGCTTACGGAAGCACCTACCATGCGTGCTCCAACAATTTGCCCACGTTCGAAGTCTGTTAACTCTGACATAATGCAATGACAACCTCACATAACAGTACTCCGACAACAACTGAACTGTTTAACACATTTACGAAGTTGTATAGGTGGCGTCAGTAATCAAAAACGCCAGCGCCACCTACATATTTCATTAAAATCAATCTTTCTTTTCAAACATGCATTTCACAAGGTGTTTCCATATTTTTGTCCATCCACTGTATTTGCAACACATAAAACACCTTCGTAATTGGAAGTCAACGGCCAACGACTGAAAAAAAAGTCCAGTGAAGACATTTGTGAATATGGTGTAAAATTAGCATAAATCCTAAGTGTAGATAATTAGTACACAGGATACGAACTAAATTAAGAACTGCTGAAAAAGGAAATTAGAATAGTCAAAACACTGAAAATGTGTTATAAAAGAAGATATATCCTTCTGAGTTTCTCTCGTCAAAGGACAAACGTTTCTTGACTCACGTGTGCGTTTCTTTCTTTCTTTTCTTGGCCATATAAAAACAATAATCGTATTTTATACACTAAACAGAAATAAAAGCATTTCGTTCTCGGTAATTATACACAAAGCCAAACACAAAAAAATCTGCAGAAGCAAAATAAAACCATTTTTTATAGCTTGATGAAAGGGTAATAGTAACTATGTTGATGATAGCGTCTAATTTGCCTGTGGTTAATGTTTAACGAGCCTGTGGTTAATATTTTTTGCAACATACTGCTGCAGTTTACGAAATGATTAGTTTAGCCTGCAAATTAGTCCACCAATTTAATTTTAGAAATGACAATTTTCCTAGATCTTGCATGCTAATGTTTTTTACATACAAATCAAACATGTAAAAAATCCTTCAAGTTTAAAAAAATAATCACTAAATACTAGTTAATTTAATCCAAATGTTAAAAAGAAAGTATCATTATAAAAAACATAGAGAATGCTCAAATAATTGAAAGAAGAAAATCCTCCTTATAGCTTATATATCAGTCACGTCATAAATAGCTTTCACATTTCATGTGAAGTTTTATTTTTGAGAATAAAAAATTGTGTCTCTAGCCGTGTGAGCAAGCGCATTGCCGTGCAGTAATAAAAAAAAATCCCTCTCTTTCCATAGTTCCAGGCAAACCCTCCGAGCATATACTATATTGGAAAATGCTTAAAATTGCAATGAAAATCATTAATGTTATATGTATATGTATAAATACCGTCTGTACCTCATTTTATATATATATATACCGTCTATCTCTCTCTCTCTCTCCCTATATATATGTGTAGCAATATGTCATTTGCCATATAATAATGACAAACAAGAACTGAATTAAAATTATACGCAAGGAGAATAAAACAGTATACACTGAACGAGCCAAAACATTATGACCATCTCCTCATTTTTCAATGAACTCGTGTGGATGACGTGAAGAGCACATGATTAAGTGGGAATTGTATTTAACTGCTGATGGAGGAATTAAGAAATCATTCTTGATCTTACTTTTGCGAGTGATGGGAAAGGCTGTTGATCTAAACAAATTTGATTGGCCTGTGTAGGATATATAAACAAATTTGATTGGCCTTTGAGGGCATATTGTATTGGCCCGAAGACTTGGAACGATTATCTCCGAAATTGCACGACTGGTAGATTGTTCACTATATATCGTTGTAAGCATTTGCACGAAGTGGATGAATGACGGTGAAACCAGCAGTAGACGCCAAGATGTTAGATGTTAAGGTCGTCGGTGATTGTCCTGCTTGGTACAGCAAAATCCTAGCTAGACAGTGGCTCCACTGACAGCCCAGTACACTGCAGGTCCAAGTGCAAGAGTTTCGTAACTCACAGTTCAGCGGAGACTACTGGATATGGGACTGCGCAGCAGACGTTCCACCTGGTGTGCCACTGTCGATCAAGCGTCATTGTCAGTGGGCCCAGAAACGTCGAGATTGGACCATGAATAGGTGAAAGACAGTTGTCTGTTCAGATTAATCACTATTTCTCATTCATTACATCCATGATTAAGTCAGGGTATGCCGTCTTCCAAGCGAACTGTTTCTCTTCCCTGAGCATCAGGTCATACACAAGCTGGTGGTGGCGGTATTATGCGTTGGGGGACGTTCCCATGGGTGGCTCTGGGACCTTTAGTTGTGGTAGAACAGACCATGAAAGCTGCGGACTATCTGAACATAACTGCGGATCAGTTGCACTTTTACATGACGCCTGTCTTCCGAACTGGAAATGGAATCTTCCAGCAGGATAACGCCCCGTGTCACAAGGCACGAACTGTGTTGGAGTGACTCGAGGATCATAAGGATGAATTCCAATTAATGTCCTGGCCACCTAATTAGCCGGATCTTAACCCGACAGAGCACGTTTAGAATGACATGGAGCGGCAACTCAAAGCTCAAAACCACCACGTCGGAATATCTCAACTTTGCATGACCGTTGCTGAGACATTTGTTACAACTTGTCTCCCGTCATTTACAAAGAACTTGTTGCATCCATGCCAAGGCGAGTTGCAGTTCTTTTGCAGGCCACGCATCGCTTTATTGAGTAGGTGGTCATACGGTTTTGTCTCTTCAGTGTATATATATATATATATATATATATATACTCAGTGTATACTACCTCAGTGTATATACTCATATATATATATATATATATATATATGAGTGTTTACAACGTACCTGATGGATTTCTCTTCTCCTATGTATTTCTTCTTCATCACTGCGGCTTTCAGAAGTAGATTTACTTAAATATTCAAGCTGATTCACTTCATATGTTGCAGACGTGTCTAAGGATGATGATGCCACTCTTGTTGGATGTTTTCCATCTAAATCTGACTGTACATATAAAAAGGCAGAGGCGTATTTTTTATGGTCTTTTTCTTCATAAAAACTGTCAGATTCAAGAATACTTCGTATTTTATTTGATGATAAAGAGGGAGTACTACGATAACAATCGCTGTAATGCTTAATCCATTTTATGGCAAAATCTTCTTTTCCAAGAAAAGATGACTTTTTAATGTTTGTTTTATCAGATGTTTTCCCTATATCAGTCTTTAAACATACTTCCAAAGATGTCCTGTATCTTTTAACATTTTTAGAAGCATCTAGTTTGTCATTTACATCAGAAGTATCTTTTACATTTCTATGAGGAAATTTTGAATCATCTTTCTTAGATGCAGGAATTTCTTTAAAGTAAGAGCTGATATAATGAAATGTTTGTTCCTTTTCTTCAAAATCCTTCCGATCAACCACTTTTACGGGTTTAAGAATATCGGACGTTTCGAAAGATGCAGTCTCTGCACTAATTTTACGCTTGGAACTTTCATCTAAAGGCATAACTTCGTCTTTAATCTCATGTGAGACATGTTTTTCATCTTTCAAATCCCTGATAAAATTACTGTCATTCTGAACAATGTGCAAACTGTCGTCACTATAGTGTTCATGGAGGCCATCTTCCTGAATAATGTTATGGTCATTTTCAGAAGATAATTTTTCAAATTCTGAAGAACTACAGCCATTCTGTACGGAAAAGATGTATTCAAATGAATAAAATAAATTATTTATATTTGATATTATACCTATATTCAAATTTTTACGAAATATATTAGCAAAGAAATTTTATTTGAAATATAAAATGTTATTTCCTAAGCCATTTTACACACTGGATTCCAATAGCTTGGACGCATATGGCTTGGTTCAGGAAGCGTTCACCCTTAACTATCTTAATAAGACTAAAGAGCAAAGGTTAGATCTAGCTAAAGTGACTGCAACACAAGAAGTATCAGTTTCTCTGCAAAGAAAACTTTCTTTATTTGACAAAGGCTTATCGAATGGGAGTATTATTGTCCTGATCGAAAAATGCTTACTTTGTATTACTATGCAGAAAACGCATATACCTTCTGATGACTAAATAGAAGTTGCAGGGCTTCCTGTGAACCTTTCTAAACGTGGATTTTGATGAAAGTTTTCAAAATTTTTATTACCTTTAATTAAAGTGTATACATTTAGCTTTCCCAAACTACTTATAGTACTCTGCGGCCATTAGAAACAGAGTTATGGCTGTTCTTGTCAAGCGGAAGTTTCTGTTTATGAACCCGGAAGTTGATGTTTAAAGGAAAACAGACTACTATAAATAATTTTAAACTTATAAATTTTCAATGGAACATTTTTCGTAATGTTCAGAAGATAATTTTGAAACTATCTATTTGGTATTAAGAGCTCGAGAACAAAATTATATTCGCAAACTAATTTTTATTAGTTGGCAACATTTTCTTTTCATTCTATTTGTGTGTACATTACATTAAATCCACTATTTGAAAAATTTGAATTTTTAACTTTAACGTTACGAAGCAACCTTTAGCTTAAAATATTACCATAGTAATGTTATAAAACTTTCCACAAATATTATATAATATTTTGTGAATTAAATTAGTAAAATGTAAATTTGTGTACATATTAAAATTTTTGCAAACAATTTTGTAAATAAAAAAAGAATTAGTTCTCGAAAAATAGCTAGTGCATGCAATCAAACAGTTATACTTAGTTCATATTTTACTCTGTCACGTAGCTTTTAGAACATTCAACTTCTTATACCATAATAACTGTAAGTGAAAAAATAAAAGTAAAATATCGATACGTATTTTTGTGGGAACATAGCTATTAATTCTAAAATTTTTATTTTAATTCACATATTTGAACCCAAAATGTGAAAAAAAGCGTATGTTATATTTTAATAATATGCTTATGACCTATTTCTGGCATTCTGCTAAATAACACCAATAATAGATCTATTTATACTATTTTCGAAACTTGGGGGGGGGCGAACGATGTCCGATACCTTAACTCATCTTTAGTTAAAATGTAATAGTAACTCAGAGGAGGTGTAAAGAATGAATTCCGAGTATTTTTTTTTTCCAGCAACCGCTCCGTTTCGAGCCGCAGCTCCACAGCTAAAATGCATGTCGACGAGCTCGTGTTCTTGTAGCTATACATAACTTGGAAAATCGCACGAGGGATGATTATTTAAGCTATATTTCAGCCTGCTTTTACCTACCGAATTGTATTACTTCAGTGAGCCATCTTTCAGAATAATATTACGGTCATTTTCAGAAAATAATTTTCCAAATTCTAAAGAACTACGGATATTCTGTATATGCAGTTCTAAATTCTAAAGAGACATTCTGTAAATCTGCGAACATTGCAAAATGCGCGTAGATTTGACATGATTTTTGCGATATTTTGCGGAACAATACATTTTGTATTGCAATAAGTATATTTTCCAATACAAAATGTATTGTATTGCAAAATAGACTTATTTCGTCCCCCTCTCCTGCTTTTAAATTTTTGCCGAGTATTTTTTAATCACCCTATAAATTATCATATGTTTATTTGAATGAAATTTGATTGAAATAGGAAGCATATCAAAAGTGTATGTAATTTACTATGTCATAGTACTAAAGGATTATTTTCCTCGGGTAAAATATGGCTTATGTTATTGTTTTGTATGGCTAACTCCTAAAAAAAAACTTCATTATAGAAAGCCTAAACTCCAAAATTAAGGATATGAAATTTAAAAATAGATAAAAAATTAGACAATGATAATATGAAGTTCACCCTGCACGGTGGCTAGCAGTTCTGGCTGCCAGAGCGTTGAGTCTAGGCTCAAATATCCCCAAAACCATGGATGTTTGTAACTGTTTAATTATTACGCAGCGTGAAAACGCATAAAAATATTAAGCCAAAACTCTCATGAAGAGGCTTGGGATGGGAGAAAGAGCAAAGAAAATCTTTGAATTCCTCAACTACTAGCTTGCCGAGCTACGAGCGCTATCCTGTTGGCTTCGAAAAAATTCGTGTATTTTGAATCTGTATCATGGTTAGGAGAATTAGAAAAAAGAACAAAATAATAACACGAGAAAAAATGAAATTTTGCCTTCTAGTAAAATATACGAGTAGTAAAGCTAGAATGTATTTAGAAAAAGTTATTTCCCTTTCCCTCTGTTTTGTGTAATATTCACAACGTTTATTTCGAAGTGCTTTAAGAAACTGTTTTTATTTTGCGTTTATATTATTATAGGATCATATTTTTCCTTTTCAGAGTACTAATCATTTACTTACATCTAATTTCCCACTTGGTAATAAGATGGAAGATGTTCCCGCAATTTTAACAGGTAGCTCAGCACCTATAGAAGAAGTTTTACTTTCTGGGTCAAATACTTCAACTTTTCCACAAGCAGATTTTTTGGATGACAAAATTCCACCTATCACATAAATTAGGTTGCCTGAAAAAAATATTAATTGAATCGCATATTGCATCCATACTGATACAACTAGTAGCAAAAACTTTTCACACTCTTTTAAGATTAGATTTAATAAAAATACCGATATTTAGAGATGTGTAAACAAATACTTCAGTTATTTAAAGTGGGAAACGAGAGCTATTTCAATCACTTTGACTGCTTATATTAAAGGACTGTCCGACTTAGAAGAAGTACCTTTATGGAAGACTTTCTGAAAACAACCTAGCTTAGATTTATGCATCGTACAAAAAATGTCATCAAAATCAGCCTACTCAGTTGACGGAAAATAAGACTACAAACTATAAATCAATACATGATAGCTACTAGGACAAACTACTTGTAACCGAAAGGCATTATCCAATAAGAGCAGTGGTAAGTCTTCGTATTTCAGTTACATGGGATACAAAACACCTTTACTGACTATTTCTGAATGGGCTAGTTTACATTTGTAGAGTTATTCATTTATATGCTTTCCCATTTAATCGAGACCCAGCCAACTAAATTTAGGTGGTGACAAATTATCGGATACCAACTGTTTTAGTTTGAGCATTACAAAAGAGGATGTTTTGATGATGGAAACACGAACCCTCACTAAAATTTAAACCATGTATCACCCACATGCCAGATGGATTTGCTAATCACTTACAGTGTAACAATGGAATGTGATAATTACTGACATATTTAAGTTGCATATAAACAGGTTATTTAAAATTCCTACAGCAGCCTACTTCTGATCAGCACTAACCATAACTAATCAATAATCTGAACAAATCATAACCAATCAATGTAAATTTATAATGAATTAATAAACAATATGATTCAGAAGGTAAAATCATAGACCAGTGATAATAATCCGTTAATAGTTAGTTAAAATATATACAACGACATCATAAATTAAGCACCAAGAAGAAAATGTGGTTTCAAAAACTATAAGCAATAATAGTTATTTTGAGCAAAACCTTCATGTTTTCATTAAAATAAAAGTACAAGTTTTCAGGTATACTAACGATACTAAAAATGACATTACAGAAAAAAAGAGGTATTTTAGAATTCCAAGTGTAAAAACAATAAAACATTTTTGATATTAAAATATAAAATTTAAGAACAAAAATAATTAAATTTTGGAAACTGTAAAACATTGTAACAAGAAATGTTTTCAAAACTGTGAATAAATATGATTTACACTAATTTTAATAGACCGAATAAAAGAGTTCTTACCATATGAAGCTGTTGAAAAAGCATGTCTTGGATACAATAAATTTGCTTCTGATCTCCATTTTCGAGGCACGATATGCAAAGGCATGCACAAAACAGAAGAACAACTTGTAATCGGAATTTCCTGGACATCATCTGAAATGCAGCAACCACCAAGAACCAATAAATAATTATTTTTAAAAATACAAGAAGAGAATGCTCGACCTTCAGGGAGGGGTTCCTCTGGATACCATCTGAAATACAGAAAGTAACATAAAAATATGTTATTGTTGTTTTTGTAACTTATCTCACTTATCTGACAATAAGATGAAAGCAAGTCCATGAATTTTTCGTGGCGAGAAGCGAAGGATTGCGACTGTTATTGGCATGGGCCTTGAAACCTAGCAGCTGGTAATCCGGCTTTGCCAGCTCCATTCCAATTTGGAAGCAGTACTCCCTGAGGGAAGAATCCAAGGGTTTTCTACCCTCTTCCTGTAACCCAAACCCTCAAGAAGATCTTCAGCTCACTTTACGTTTTAAGTGCCACAAAGACACTATACACATAAAAAAAATCCAGCGTTTCTCTACCATTTCAAACTGAGTCCAACGTTACAACAGATAGCACCGTTAACCGCTATACCGATTATGGCGCCAAATACATCTGTCACTCTCTATAGAATAATAAAAGACAAAAAATCTATTAAAATAAAATTTCTTCTTATTAATGAAATTTTAACTAGCTTCAATATAAAAATTAAAAAGATGGAAATCACTTAGTCATGAAGTAAATAAACATTATATTTACTGCTATGATATATTTATTACAGTAGCAATATCCAGGGATATAATATTCTTTCAAGGTATTTAAAAACCGCATCTGTTATTTTAAGAGTTATTAATATGCTTCTGTTATTAATACATACTATTTAATAGAAAGCAAGTGAAATGTCATAATAGTCATAATTTATGAATATATGAAACGGGAAATTCTCTAACTGCATTAAAATATAGCAGTTCAAGATATCCGATAGCCTATTCAATTATTGCCATTCAGATTCAATAAAGCTTCTATCTATGACAGTCATGTAAACTTTTTACATCCATCCTATAACCTTCTATTTTATTTATTAAACTCTTGGACCGAACGAATAAAATTTTGATAATATTTTGTTCGCATTTCTAAATTAGTATCTTCAGATTTCAAAACATTCTCCTGCTTTCAAATATGCTAGGTAACGACACTAAAAATTAACGAAGACCTTTACGGTCATTCTTTGTTTTTTATGGAGGAAGTAAAACCGGCTTAAATTTGTATCACACACGAGAAATATGAAATGCCGATAGCAAAAAAAGCATCCCAAAATGTATGAACCAGGAAACTAACAGGATTGAAAGGTTTAAATCCACTTACTTGTTTATAACTCTGCTAAGATCTACATATATATCTATATATATATATGTAAGATATAATAAAATATGATAGCTGTTTCAAAAAAATAATTGACGAACTCAAAATTAACATTCTAAATTTGGTAATCTGCCCCTAAATTCATCTCTTCTCACAGGTTCCAGACTTTTCTATCTTATGTAACGTTTTAATGCAGATGCCTCTCGTCCAATCAAATTAATTCTAAACCAAAACTGTGAACTGAAACTTCAGCCTTCTTGCTATGAAAGTACTATAACCTTGCCCTTTTTACCGAATAGCTCTCCTGCTGGTAAGACGCTTTTCATCCATGCTGCTGCCGCCTACTTGCTTAAGATGACGTCGTACTTCAAAATGGGAGTTATTCTATTCAAATACTATTAAGAAATATCTTTTCTGAAAAAGGATTATTTGATATGCATGGAAAAAATAAAGATTGTGATTTTTCAAGATATGTTGTGCTGAATTGCGTCATCATGCTTTCCACTCTGCCAGCTTCGAGCCACTACGGTCTTCTCGGTCATCTACGCAGTATCGTAAGCTGTTGGGAGGTCCACTGCTTTCATCTACGTATTTGAAATCATTACATATAAATATATAAAATATTCTGCAATGGATAATAAAAGATGTTTTGTAAACGAATATAGCTTAGGTTATCCTTTCATCTCTTCTGAAGAATCAATTTGAAACCAAGCAGCTGGTTCGAAAGATCTGTTTTATTTTTGGGCAAGATTTATAAACTTAATTAAATGCCTCAGAACTTCTTAACCATTATATTATGGATTTCACTGAAAGATATTTTAATGTAACGCATGTCAACAAAATGTGCTTGAAATTCAAATGCAGTAAATATAATTAATGTACAAAAATGTCTAGAAATGTATAACTAATAAAACATATAAAACTGAGACAATCGAGTAACAGTTCAATGTCAAGACTTTTCCTTATTGAATTGGGAAGTGATATTTGGGAAAATGAAAAACATGTATATTATAAAGGATATTTACATATAAATCTGTACACCTTCAAAACAGGGTAAGAGTAGGAGACTGTCACCTATAAAACGTCCAAGGGCCTAGGCCAGTAACAGGGCACTAACCCGTTTTTTTTTCTCGGTCCGAATAAAATTCATGGTCCTGTTCTGGATTACGTTCGAATCAGAAGAATCAGTCACAGGATAAAACCCCTATTGCGGACTTTGTATAACATTACTCCACAAATAAACTGTTAATATAATATGTCCGATTTAAATGATTAAAAAGACTACAACAGCTAACCGTGTAAGCATGTATGCAAAAGTATTTCGGTTAATAAGCTGCGCCTAAAAATACACTGCAGTTTTATAATAAACACGATGAGTTACGCATGACACACGAACTTTTGAAAAGTAACAACGTATCCAACAATCACTCTTTAACCATTCTTAAGTTTGAACACATTTATTTTGCATATGTCAAATTACATCTTTATTTAAAAAAAAGTTTTAAAAGCTAGCATTGGAACACAAGGGGAAGTCAACAAACAAGCCACAAAAGGCAATTAAAAATAATCTAAAGAGACACACACCCGAAATCTATTTTTTTTTATTTCTTAACGTAATTTTTACAATTATTTTAACATTTGTATTATCAGTGCTCCAATACCAGCTGAATAAAATTTTTGGATTGCTCTCACAGCCACATCTCGAAATCGTTATCATCTGCAAAGCCTTTGCCTCAAAAATTCTTTTTAGTGAACCAAATAGATAGTGCTACTGTTATTGTTATATTCCATAGCGCACATTTCATGAATCAATTTCTCAAGTATGCCTCAGTTGGAACTGAACGATTTTCATGGCAAACTTGAGAAAATTTCTCAATCCACTTTGCATGGCTTTGCAGTTCGGCAGACACTACTTTCCATAAACAGAGAATATTCCTTCATGAATGTCATTTGCACGAAGTTCTTTTGCTCCCCCTTTTCCCTCAGAAAAGGATAACAGCGGGCTGCTACTCTCTTGTCTGGTCACTCAGTTCCGTCGGCATTTTCAAACTAAAATACGCATGTGCAACTGGTATTTAATCACTCCACAGTTCCCCAAAACTCAAACATTTGCTTCTCTCTTTTTATCAAAGCTAAACATTTTGAGTCTAAAACTTGCCTTAAAAGTATTTCTTTCCCCCTTTCACCCAGCTGTCAGAAAACCTCCTACATGTCACTTTCGAGGATGTTGAATAGCGTCTCACTAGCTAGAAGACAAATTATTTTGTGCTTCTTAGTCTCGTGTTTGAAAATGAAAAAAGACTATCCCCTATGTTTCGAGTGAGCAGTAGTTACAGTGCAATGCCATCTGAAAGGGAATTGGAACTGCATTCCTTGTTCCTTTTGTAATTTTCCTTTGTATAGTCCTGATACAACCCCGCTCTGGAGAAAGCGGTACCAAATAAGCCATCAATAATCTCCTTTCATTTTCTTTGTATTCTGGGGTTTGCAAAACACAGAGAGATGAATTTCTCTCCGGGGTAACGACACACGCCACATTTAACACCGAAGAATGTGTGTCGTTTGTGACGCCTAAAGGCGCGGATATTTCTGTCATCTATTTAAAATACAAAGTACTCTGCTATTTTCAAATACATCGTGCCAGTGTTTGGCTTTCTTAATGACTTCCCTTTACATTTATTTATGTTATTAAGCAAGCACTTCAACTTCAGTATGGATATCCGAAGATTAGTTATTAGTTATTAGTGCATATATAAAAGAGAGTAAATTTTAAAATAATTTCTCTTAGTCTCGGATAAAAACTTACAACATTAAAAATTATAAAATATGGTCACTTAGTAGGTGTTATAAATAATTTGAGGCATTTGCATTTTAAACTTAAGTAATAAATAAAACCTTGAAATAAAATACCAAAAAGTAAAAAAGAATATGTATTTTGCACTTACTTATTACTAGTTGGAATGAAGCTGTATACATCTGTTAAAATAGATTTCTTATAATTTCCGGGTACTTCTTTCGTGATACCTCCAACAAGCCAAATCGAATTCAGGTCACAAACTGCTGCTAAACCCATGGCTGGTCGAGGCATACTACTTATTATTATCCATATGTCTTCATTGGAAGAATATTTTTCAACTGATTCAAGTATACTGTTCAAATATAGAATTCAGTCAGAAAATCATAAACAATATTTGTTTTTACATATATTCTGAATAATATTTACTTAGTAATAAACGAGATGTGACACAAAAAAAAAAATGAGACTGTGTAGCTTGAAAAAAGAGTGGACTTGACAACACTGTTTTCGCGACATCATACCACACACCTCCTCTGTACATGCGACCAGTTTCGACTTAACCGATCACACCAGTTGGAAATACTGCGTCATTGAGCGAACATGTGCAACTGCATTCTGCTGGAAAAAAAATTGTAATGTAAAAACCGAATAACGAATCAACATGAAGTTTCTTGTGAAACTTAAGAAATCAGCCACGGAAACATTTCCAATGTTAACTGAGGCTCATGCAGATGAAACTTTGCCTCGTGCACGTATGTTTGAATGGCATAAGCCGTTTTCAGGGAAAAGGGAGAAAGCACGCATGCCAAAGTCAAAATTCAAGGCAATATTGTCTTCTTCGACATTAATGGAATTGTCATGATTGAGTGGGTTCCCAGTGGTAAGACTGTTAATCAACACTACTACATTGAAGTACTAAAACGATTTCGTGAAAATTAGGGGAAAAAATGCCACAGTTGTGGAGTGATGGCTGCCTGTTGCACCAAGACAATGCACCCGCTCACACTGCCCTATCTGTCAAGCAGTTTCTGACCAGAAAAAACATTACTATGATGAGGTATCCTTCTTCTTCACCTGATTTGGCTCCAATCGACTTTTTTTATTCGCTAAAGTTAAATCTTGCTTAAATGGGAGCCATTTTACCTCAGTTGAAGAGGTTCAGTCAAAAACGGAGAATCTCCTGAAGGGCCCTTCCAAAAACCTCTTTCCAGAACTGATACCAGCAATGGCAGCACCGAATGCAGAATTGTGTGAATGCTGAAGGGGACTACTTTGAAGGTGATAATCGTCACGGAGAACTGATTCTGTAAGTACAATGATTTATTGGACCAATCTTGTTTTTTTGTGTCACACCTTGTATATATATATATATGTAATATTAGCACAGTTTTGGGAGCACTGAATGTAAGAACACTACGACGTGGAAACGAAGAAATACTAATGGCGTAGATACTTGATGCTTAGAGCGTTCATCCATTTTGAAGAATAAACAGTCAAGCCGAATTACATTCCATATTTATTTAAATTCACAATGGTGCACGCAATTCACTTGACACTCTGCTCGTGTCTATTTACAATTTTGATACTTTTGCCATAAAAGCGTAATTGCAGCAGCGTCTGAAGAGTATGAAAGCATAAGCGAGAAGAGAGAGAGCGTCGTAGTAGTAATGCACAGGAAGAGGGGAGGAAGTCAAAAAGTTTCAGTTTTAAGTTTTGGTTTACAATTTGGTGATTGGTCAAGAAGCATCTGCATTAAGCGTTACGTAAGATCTCATGATTAATTTGAATGACGCAGTTAAGATTTATACATGGACCTTATAAGAAATAGACTAACCCAACTGGTTTTCTCCCTCGTCTGAGGCGTTGCCGGCTGTCAGCTTGATCACATCTGGAGGAGTAGGCACGACTTGCCGAAATTTAACAGTGCTTGCCTATTGCAGCCTGTATAATTGTCAAGAAAAAGCTGGTTGTAGCGCCTCATTTCACAAATTAGAATTTCTACATATTTTTATTTTTGAAATTGAGATTGATTTTTAAAAATTTAGCATATTTATCAAGCATAATTAACGTTCGAAATAATTATAAAGCTATTGCATGCTTTCAGGACTGGATATTTTTTTAGCTTTTCCTATGCTGTATGGAAATTTGTAACTACTTCTTTTAGAAAATAATATTTTAAATCTGAGTTAATAGAAAATTTCATTCAAGCAACCTTAATGCTTTTTATTGGTGTAAATAGGTAAAAAATCCTAATACATTTAAAAACGAATTTTTGAAAGTTTTGTTTAAAATTCTAAATTGTGCTGCTCTTTTAAAATTATAGATGAGTATTATAGCACAATTTTTATAAAGGAATTTTACTTCAATTATATTTCATAATACATCATAGTGATAACCACTTTTGACTCCTTAAAAATTTTTATACATTTAATTCTAATATTAAAATTGTATTTAAACGTAGTAATTAATTTTCCTTGTATTTTATATTGATTATTTTTTAAATTTATTTTTAGTTCTGCATAAGATTTTTTTAATTTACTGTTAATTTAATTTATTAGCAAAAAGGGGCGGTAGCCTAGAAAGACTGTTAGTTTTGAAGAGGCATTTTGCGCTGTTTTACTATAAATGTCCATGTCTCCTTGCAAATTGTTGTTACCAAATATTATCGCCCTGTATTATATGTAAAGAAAGTAAATAATGAAGAATCTGCATGAATACATGTATGTTTCTCACACTGTGACAAAAAGGACAGTATCTAGAACCATCCAAATTTTCAATAATGTAATCCGCCACGCGAACATGGGCATCTGGACGGCCGAATTTCGAATTTGTTTTAATCTATTTCATATTTTGTAAAACTTTAACGAATTTTTGATTAACAAACTCAACGACTCCAAGCGAGCACTGTACGGAAAATAACAGTTTTATCTCCAGTGCGAAAATTATAAAGATATGCTGTTTTGAAATGTATGTGGTTTACGGGCGAAGAACATGATATTAAAAAAAATATAGGTAACACACTTTAAAAAAGGTTCCTTTTTAATAAAATCTGAGTGCTTCTAGATTTTATTTTATCTTTTTTTTTTTTTCCCCTTCATTACACTCAGAAAATTTTATGCTCTGAATTTTATAAATTACTGAAAATTCACTGCGATCCTTGTCACAAAGTCAATTTAATGATCATATAATCAAATAAATATGACTGTTTTGTAATGTCATTAAAGTTTCGAAAATCACTGCCTGAAAATGGTCATTAAATTTAAAAAAAAAATGATCAGATCATGTTTAATTTTACCTTATTTATTTCAAAGCATCACGTACTATCAGTCTTATTTAATTTTACAATATTTGTACGCAAAATTAAATTCATAAATTTTGTGCTTAAGAGTTTTTACCGTTTTACCAATGTAAAGGTGCTTGTACAAGAATTACGAGTGAAAAATTGCGCAAAATGCAGTAAATATGCTTTAATGAGATATATTAAATCCTATTTGGAAAAAACTGTGGCTTTCATAATCTCATGACTATACAGCGTATCACATTTAATAATTAAAATGAGTTATGTGATACAAACGCCCTAGGTTTCTTAAATAAATTTTCATGAAAATAAACATGCATTCTCTTTCAGCGCCCAAAGGACTCCGATTATTTGCTTTCTCTTACTTGTTTGTGATGGATATTTAATTATGCAAATACCGGGCTATCTGCCTAAAGGGAGGAATGCCTTCGTGGAGGACTTTATAAGTAAAACTGGCTCGTATACACGTTACACATGGGCAAAACCACGAAAATTCCCATGCAGCCAGCCCATTCGCGGGATTCGAACCTCGGACCGAACTACCAGTGTTCAGCGACTTTACCGCTCGGCCGCTGGTGGGCTTGAATTTTTGAGAAAATCTTCAATATATCCATAAAGCTGGGACGTATTTTATTTTCTACCTTGCGGTTTCAAATTTAAAGCGTTTAGATGGGATGTTAAATCTGTCAGAAAAACAAGATTATATAAAAACTGGATATCTTCCAACTTTTCTTAATACTCATGCCCAATGTTTTCTTTTTTGAGGAAAGCAAGAATTTCATTCCTCAAGACACAAAACTGTTGCAGACAATTTCCAGCACTTAAGCCAGGGTACTTGGCAGTACAATGAAATGTCACCATACTCAGCATCCGAATTGTCCACAAATGCAAAAAATGCTCTCTGTCTTTGGGCTTATTAAATTTACAACAGTTTTCATTGTCTAACTGAGTCTTATAATTTTTGTTATTGAATTATTATATTTAATATAATATAATTACTTATATTTATTATTTAAAGCAGTAAGAAATGTCTTGTTTTTACAAATGTTTAACTGACATTTTTTTCCAGTAAGATGGGCAAGTGCCAACTAAATGAATAAGAGGGCCGCATGCGGGCCGTGGATTGGACCACGCTGATCTACAGTATTAAATTTTTGTATAAAGTATCTGTTGAAGCTCAGCAGCATTTAAGGTTTGAAACTGAATAACAATTAAGTAAACTGTATTAGTTTTTTCAAACAAATTTAAAATCAATTTGAGATGTTTTAAAATGATTAAATCTGATCCATACTTCTTTATGCAAGCTGAAGCTCTGGGCAAAGTAGCGAATCAAGAAGCACAGAATGTTTTCTGAACCAGTTGGGTTTCCTTATTAGCTATTATACTGTAAGTGCTAATAGATTTTTTATGATTATATTTTTATGATCATTTTTATGATTTAATCATATATTTAAATATATTATCATATATTTTATAATCATATATTTTTATGATTGCGAAATATTGTATAATTTTTGTACTTTGGTTTACTGTGTGCGTCTTTATTGTTTCGCATTTGCTTTAATCATGTGCATGCAGATAACTATCGTTTATGTTTTTTTGTCAATTCTATGTTTACAAGTATTGAAGAATTGTAAATAGGTCCAAAAGAACCAAAAATAGTGCATTTTGAAATTTTTTACTCTTGGGCGGCATCTTTGGACATGGTACTGAGAAAGCAGTCAATTTGCTCATAGTAACCCCGTCTGAAAGCGACCCCTATTCCCAAGAGCGTAAACATCAGAACTGAATATCATCATTCAAAGTGATCACTTCCATAAAATGCCAAAAACTTATAAGGATCTTAAGTTTTACTCACGTTCATTTTCTTTAAAAACTTTACTGTCCTCTGTTATTTTCCACTTCCGGCCAGAATAAACGAGTTAGTTTTATTATGCAAATTGTGCTTGTAAACTCTTGTAAGTTGTGCACAAATAAAGCCTTGCAAATCAAGCTCAAACGCTTATGTATTAAGAGTACGAACTCTTGTGTATTTAAGTTGTGACTTTTAGTCAAGAAGAGGGAGACTTCTCGCCCCTTTACGCGCGCTTTCAGTCAGTTGTTGTCCGCCATTAAGGCCATAAATTTAATCTTCTTGATATTGAAGACGCATTGTAGTTTTTCTCCGCATTCTGCGTACTACATATGTAAAGATCTATAAGGCCAATCTTAGTGTTACTAGCCCTTGTAAAATATTTGAGTTTAGCTCTTATTTAGTTAGTTTGTAGTTCTTGTTTTTACGTTCAGACCACAAGTACTGGTCACTGTATCCCGAAGCTCGTGAGCGGCTGTAATTTGTGAAGAATAAAGGGTAATTAAATCCTTCTTTTCTGTGTCATATCTTCTACAGTAGCTTAAGACATAGTTTTCAGTAAACTCACTGCTCTACTCAGCACACCTATATCTTTGCGAAACAGATAAGAAGAAATAGTAGTCCTGATAACCTTATGAAATCATGAATGGTTCGGCTTAGAAAGGGTTCAGTGAGCCATAAAATTTGGCATCCTTAAGAAATATCTAGAAACCTTGATTTGTAAGGCTTTATTTGTACATAGCATTGCATATTTTCAATATCAAGTCCTCGACACTGATACTTTCAAAGATCTTGCAGTTAGGAAATAAGTATTATATTTTGAAAATAAATTTACAGGAGTTTTTTCAGTCTGTTGCGGGACATTTTGGCAGCAACTATGATGCTAATACTTTCATTTTCTTTTCATTTAAATGCATTAACTGTTCCTGTTTCAGAGTTCTGATAAAAGTCAAGTTTTACTTAAATTCTTAAATCCTTTCACTTCATTTAAAATCAAATGTGAACTACTAGCATTCAATAATATATATTATACACCAATAAAATACAGACATTCTTGAAGTAAAATCTAACAAAACACAGATTAAAGGTTATTACAAAGGTTAATTACAGGTTATTTACGGTACAATTAATGGAAGAAAAATTATATGAAAGTAGTCTTATTTTTCAAAATTTACGAATAATTAGCATATGGCGGATTGACTCAGTGGAGTGATCTTTTAGACTATTACAATTTTGTGCCTTGATATCTTAATGCAGAACTCACTTTCCAGATGATGTTCTTCCACCAAAAACATATAAGCAATTTTGAAATGCCACAGTCGCGTGAGTTGCACGAGCATGATTCATATCGGCACATTTTTTCCACTGCTTATTTTTTACATTTAATTTGAATGTCGTAGAAATTGCAGTCATATCTCCATGTCTTTGTTGAAGAAGGGAATAACCACCTGCAATAAAAACTAGCTTAGTAGTTTTATGAAATGAATCAATATTCATTTAAATTTTAAATAAAAAAATTGTAAATATATTACTAAGTTTTATTTAAATGCATAGACAAACTATCATTTTTAATTAGATTTTTTGGTGAATTACTTTAAGCGCTTGCATTTAACAATAACAAAAATTAATAGGCATATATGTGAAAAATATAGGATTAAAAAACGTTTTTAAAATAACTTTTCCAAAAACAGATATTTATAACAAATCTACAAATGCCAAAAAGTGTGAAAAGCTGAAAACTGCAATTAAAACTAAAGCTGATATTAAAATCTAAAAAATTACTCTATTGATTTGTTTAAGAAAGGAATTACACTGTATGCAAAATTAACAAAAGAGCAATTCTGAGTATGGAAAGTATTCTTTGAAGAAAAGGGTATTGTATCCTAAAATTGAAAAGTAAGTTATCTTAATAGAGTAAACCCTTGTCGAACGCAGCGTTTACGTCATTAACACATTGCGCGTAAGGAAAAATCGCGTTCCACAAAATTAACTAAGGAAAAAATGTGTTAAGAGTAGTTCAGATTAAAAGAGTATGTGTAATTTAAACAAACCTAAATGTTATTGTTAGTTAAAGGGGGGAATTGAAACAAATGTTAATTGAAAGGATTTCTATTACTGCTTAATGAATAGGTACATGATTAACTATTTTTTTAACAGCTGGTGAATTTTTCTTGGGACAACATCTCACGCAATTCATTCAACGTATCAAAGGTTTTCAATACCTCCTCTTTCTTCATCTGGGTATCCTCTTCTTTCTTTCATTTGGATCCACATCCATTACAAATTCAAAACGTTCTTGTGCCCTTTTTAACAATTCGTTTAATTTCTTGAACTTTAGATGCTCTTAATCTTTTTCACTGTCTTTGCTTTCACTGTCGGCTGGTGTTATAAGATCAGTCAATATTTCATTTGTCATTTCGCAATCGTCATTCTCGACTACGTCGCTGATTTCCTCTTTTACCATATCTGAGAATCTTCGTTCGTCTTTTGCTTTTGCAATTTGTATGATTTCCTTGGCTTTATTTTCAGTCGAAGGAAATCTTTAAAATTGTTGAAAACTTCTGGCCAAGAGGTGGTGCCAGAAAGCATTCGCTGTTGATGAGTTCACTTATTCCCATGCGAGTTTAACTATTTCAATGCACTGTCTTACGTTGATTTGCTTCTAAAATGCCATTAGTGCGTTGTACTTTTTTTCATCTAGTGCTTCATTTTCAGACATGTAAACAATTCTGACATAACAGGCTTTAATGTTTTTGTGATATTCCTTGATCCAATGGTTGGATTAAGGAAGTGGTGTTTAGCGGAAGGAATAACACCTCTGATTTATTATGGGGGCTTCAGCATTATGTCCTGCAGAATTATTGAGAATTAGAGAAATTTAAAGCTCAGTTTTGCTGTTCTGCTGTGCTAATGGATGAATTTGAAGCCAGTCATTAAAGATGGCTATCATAATGCGGTCGACCCTCTGCAGCGAATTGAAATTTTCGCGTTGGACAAATTAAATGGAAATAATTAAGGTAACGCTTATATGCAAATTCCCGCCCCGGAAGTGACCTTTCGTCAGGAGTTTACTGTATATCCTTTTGCCGTAATCTTTTAAAATTCTATTAAATTTTCTTTTTGTATATTTATTTTAGATGCTTCTCTCTACTTAGTAAAATATTTTAATTTAAAAATAAAAAATGCAAATGTATTTGGAATAAGAAGAACCTTAATTCATCAGTTAATGTTAAAATACATTTTGAAACATAATTTACGTTCTGATAAGAAAATATTTGGAAATTTTCCAATTTAAGAGTGATAATAATAATAATAAACCGCAATGAAACCATGAAAATTTAATAAATTTATCACTATTTTAAGACAAGGCATATTATATTTTATAAATAATTTTACAGATACATTCTTAAAACCCTCTGAGCGGCCAGGGTTTTCGCTAAGAGAGCACAAATTTCCCAAAACTACTATGAGAAGAAATTTTTTTAAAAATTTTAATGTAAAAGTTCTCCGGGTATTTCATACCTGGATTTGTTTTCTTCTGATATATTGCCTTACTTTCTTTGACATATTTTAATATGCACGTATATACTGTCCGACCCACGTATTCCAGATTTATGTGAACATCCGGCTTGGGGCGGAAATGGGCATATCTATCAGTGATGTTGGGGTGAGTGCAGTATTCTAAGAAAAAGCCTCAAATGGCCCCCCGATTTCCGAGAGGGAAAAATACCCGCGCTTTTCACACAAACCCCTTCGACCTCCGAGAGCGAAAAATACCCAAGCTTTTCAACCCACAGCCCTTCAGTTAAACTGACCCATCTTGGCTCTCAGCCAAACTGCTCTCGCTAATGTGGTTAGACAGTATACGTTCTTACAAATATCACAAAAAATATTCTAGGCCTATATATACGGCCTTGCCGCTTAGAGGGTTAAAAAGTATTAGCTTTGTTTTTGTTAAGAATATACCGAAAAAGAAATTTAGGAATTCAGATCCCGAGATTGAAGAAACAAGAGCAAAAATGTAAAAATTATTATTCTTTCGGCAGAAAAATAAGGATGGGGGGGTGGAAATGATGGGAGAAAAGGTAAAAAATCTGAAAGGATTCCTATATTTAACGCCCAAAAAGGTTCGTTTAAAGTTTCATATTGTTTATCAGTGAATATTATCAATAAAGATGGCCTAGGGAGAAAGGCGAAATATTTTATAGGATACTAGATGAATATGCATTTAGACTAACATGGGGACGTTATATATCTGCTGCGTATCTGAAAAGTGAAAAAATGCATAACGTAATTCTATAAAAATATTTAATGTTTTTAATTAGGTGTATCATGAATTAAATGCATTTTTATTTACATCAATCACATTAAAAAGCAATATTTTTAAGAACTGCATCTATTGCTTTTAAACAGCTTAGGTTTTTATTTAGTAATAGATAGATTCATTTTGACAGATAAATACCTTAAATTTAGGCGAACAGCAAGACTCGAATGAAAAGTGAAACAATGTATTTGGCCAATCAACGTTTAGAAAATAACAAAAGTTAAAGCAAAGTTTTCAGAGATTTTATTGATCCAAAAAGACTTTGAAGTGAAAACCCTAATATAAGAACTTTTTTAATAAAGGTAGTTTAAAAACATAAAATATAAACATTCATTCAGCAGTTTAACGAATGTATAGTACCTTCTATCTTGTTAAATTGTTAAATGTCCTTGTTTTTAAGAAATAAGAAAATTTAAATCGCTTTTCCAGGAAGACTAAACACAAGGTATGGATTTTTACATACATCCTCAATCATTTAAATCGTCAATATGTATATATATATATATATATATATAATATATTAAGATTTTTAACTTTTGTCTTTTTTCCTTTGTTATAAACAATATAAATTTTTGCACTAATTGACAATCACAAAAATATTAAATGAATAATTATACAATTTATTCAACTTGATTATAGTTTCACAAGATAGTTAAAAAATAATTTAAATAATTTCACTTGAAGACAATGATATTTTCTTACCAGTTATATATAAGAAAGAACCTATCAAAGCCGTAGAATGATAGCAAATGGGATCTGGCATTTTACCCCAATAATGCCATGTGTTAGAACTAGTTAGGTACTGAAATATGGTGCTGCCTGAAAATATAAATCTATTTAAAATAATATCTTGGATAAAAAATAACAGATTAAATTTAAAATATCAATTCAAAAGCAAACAGAAATTAGCAAATTTCATTATTTATTTTTTACAAACGTTTAAATACTGGTCGTCTTTAATATTATGGGTCAAAATAATTTTACATTACTAATAATTCTTTAGCTGATCAAGCACACTTATGTTGCATTACTACACAAGATAATGTCATTTTCTGCCACTCCTAAATATAATGATAGTTTAAAATTTACAATGATAAAATAAATTAATATTTGTCAGTTAATTTGTAGCAATTTATTCCAATTCGCCAGCATTACATATTCAAAAATTAATTACTAACTAAAGCCCAATAAAGATCTAATTCTTTATATGAAATAAAATGAAAAAGTGCAATAATTTAATAAACGTACTTGCAAAAATCAGGTGTTATTTCATTAAATAATAAACATGGCAAATGATCTGATCTGAAGGAGGTATGCTAACTTGAACAACTAGTAAAACTCTGTTTTTTTTTTTTTTTCCAAGTTTTGTTTTTCTGCGGGATTCAATTATTACGTTTTAAAAACCTTCAAATCATAAGATTGACTTTTATGTATTTTTAAAAAACAAAGAGAGTTTTAGAAAGCAATATAATTCATATAAAGTAAATCTTATGACCAAATAAATGCAACCGTACTGTAAAATTTTGTTTTAATAGCCGTTACCTATAAAAGAGTAGAATCCTAATTTTCAACTTCTAACTACCCAACATATTATGAAAAATTAATAATTCAATATATCATTTGTATTGCTTTCAAATACATCACAGTTCTCAGAGCATTGTCCGTGGCTATTAACATATCCATCACATGAATTATCCTTCTTTTGTAAAATATTTTGTTGAATTGTATTATCACTTTCTTTAGTATTTACTACAATAATTCTTTTTTATTGCATCACTTTTTTGTAATGAATTGTACAAGAGGAGTGCAGCTTTCGCATAAAAACTGTAAATTTTAACTAGCCTATATTTACCTTCCAATGAAATATATATCAGGAAAACTACAATTATTGGGTTAAGATGCAATAAATGTTATAGTTTCTTCAATGTACCTATTTTTTATCTTACCTTTTACAGTTCCATGTTGTTCACGATTCCCAGTCATCTGATCATCGTTCAGTCATTTAATTCAGGTATCTACAGTAATCGGCTAAGGCTATTTTTAAGGTCCATTTTGCAATAAAACCAAACAACTAAAAACGTATTTTGAATTTAAATATTAC